CATGCAGAGGCTGTCAAGAAGTCGATCATGACGTGACATCACAGCGAGCGATTCAACAATAATATCTCATGCAAATCAAATCAAACAAAAAATCTGTGTCGTTTGCCTCTGCTGACCGGAATTTACTCACACCGAACCTTCCCACCATAAATAAACGCCCGTATACGTGTCTCTCATTCGATTATTCAACCAGCTGTGGTTCAAAATTTTGACCCCCCCTGTATGGCTTTCGAACGGCCAAAATTTGAGCCCTATCAAACTCAAATTGAATATCGCACTGTTCGAATATCAGATTTGCTCGGAAGATGGAGTATATTTTTAGGATTGGATTCACAATCTGAAAATATTAATTATATGGTTGTTAGGGCATGTTTAGATTGTAGCCAAAATAATCCTTACCAAGTTTTAGCAATGCCAAAATTTTGGCAAGTTGGCACAAGAATTTTTTATGTATTGACCAAGTTTGACAACATACTAAACGTAAATATTTTTTTGGCAACTTAAAAAAAAAGGTATGGTTAAAAATGGCATCAAAATAAACAGGCCCTAAGATTTTTGTATTTCTATAGCTGCTTCATTTGGGGATTTTGGGAGGATACGGTTTCCTTGCGCCTTTCCCCCTTTGTCTAGGAGTAGCAGCTTCTAGTTTTATCTCTTTTTTTCAATCCCTACTGTCCCTTTCTTGTATGTTTGCAAGGGCCGGTCCGGGCCGTTGTGTTGTCTAAGTAAAACTTTATTTCTTCTAATATATTAGCGTGTATTCCTTTTGCGTGTTCGCGAAAAAAAGAAAAGATTTTTTATTTTTAGTGGTCCAAAAGGGCAAGATTAAGCAATGAAAGTGATAAAAAGAATACTCTTAAGTGCAAAAAGAATTTAAAGTTGCCGGCATGTATGCATGTGTTATTTGAAGTGTGGCTCATAAGTCATAAACCATACCAACTTTAAATTTTTGCACTTACGATCAATTGTTTTTTTCATTGTTGTAAGAGTTTTTTTCTTTTGCTGATTGTCGTAAGAGTTATAAATGTCGGTAACTAATTACTCCTACATTACTAACCGATTAACAAATCCTAGATCAACAGCCACTGTAGCAAAAGAGAATTGGTCGACTGCAAACTTTAGGCTGTTGATCAATCCATTTCGTAGAATTTGCACATCTTCAAACTTCCCAAATTTTGGATTAGTTCAAACTACAACGATGTTAACACTGTATTCTTGCTGGATAATACCACAGGAGAAAGCAGACAAAACAAAGGAATACCGGTACATATATATTTTTGACATTTTGTACTCTAGCTGCCTCACAGCCTTCACAGCTGTCTTAGGGAATGGCAGAATCGTAATAATCTATTTAACGAGGGGCAAATTGGGAGAGCGATGAGCACAAGAAATTCCCTGCGGCCCACCATCCCGAGGCGGATCGGTTCTACCGAGAATCTAGGATCCACCCGGTACACCTCCCCAAAATTACATATTTGCCCCTCGTTTCTGTACTTTTGTGTGTAACATTAGAGCATGTATAAACTGTAAGCCAACGATAGACACATGTTTAGAAGATGAAAGAGGAGATAGAAGAGCAGCGTATTACAAATTTATACTATCTCCGTTCCAAAATAATTGTATTTCTAGGATTCAAAATTCGTCCTAAAATAATTACAATTCTAGAGTACTAATTGCCCCATCAATCATCTCCCATTCAAATTTCTCCCTATTTTACTCTCAACCATCCTCCCACTCTCATATAAACACCATTTAATGAGGGGCATCATAGTCTTTCTTCTCAAACCTTAATATATGCTAATTATTTTGGGACGAAGGTACTAGCCAGCTGTAGCACAAACTCAGAGATGTAATGTGTGCATGACAGGATTAGGTATTAATAGTGTAGTATATTTTTATAGGTAACTATAGGAGTATATGAAAATTGACTATACATGATTTGGAGTTCGTAGTTGTCTACACTATTAAACTTGCTCCTACTCGTCAATTCCAATGGCCTCGAACATGTGAAGGAGGATGGCATTTTGTTCAATTTGCCGGCTGTATGATATGAATCGATTTTGAGGATGATAAGGATTTAATATGGATGTATAGTTAGCTGATTTTACATATGAGAAAAAAAAAAGAATGTTCCTACGACATGTTGTATTTTTTTTCTAAAAAATGGATAAATTTGAGATTGTGTGTTTAAAACCCTTTAGGTTCTCTATTTGCATGCTTTCTCTAAGATAAGAGTGGTAGTGATTTAGTTAAGTGATGGTTGTTGCTTGGGACTTGTGGGTATGCTTCGAGTTTGTCTTGGTCACCATATCTTTCTTTGTGTCGGTGGAATTGTATTATTAGTTGTTACTCTGAATTGTTGGTTTCTATATAGATAAATATATCTATTAAAGAAACCGGCAACACCTGCCTTTTTCTCCGCCAACTTCTTGCATCGGTTTCCCCTTCTTTTGTGTGCGGTGTTGACTCTATAAATGGATCCAGACGTACTAAAATGTCTTGATTATATTTCATCCATATGAAAGTGTGAAGATTTTAATTTTAGCAATTAAACTTAAATATGCGCCTTGTATAGAAAAAAGTAAATATGACAAAGAACATTGAATTTCATAAAGACAATACAAGCATCTAAACTCATGGTTCCAACCACCTCAATCTTTAGAATATGTTATCCATCACAATTTTGTAATTTACCACTAAAAGTAGGTGGTTGGTAACTAATGACTTAACAGAAGATGTTAAATATTTATATATATAATTTTTATATACGTGTCTTTAATAATAAAAAATGCTGTAAAATAAACCAATATAAAAAATCCACAAAATCAACTTTAAAATTAAGTTTATAAAATATAAAATAGTATCACAGTGACAGGAAGAGGTAAAACACTCAAAGATTCTCAATGTGACCATTCGATTGGATTAGTTAATTATGGTGTTAATTGGGTCGATGTGGATGGATTGAGGCGAGATGGTGGTTGGCGTTTGCGTTTGCGTGGGTCACGTGACGGATGGATGTCTCGATTTGTTTATATAGTTTGCATCTCACTTCACTCGCTAACGATGAGCTCAACTGATCGACGACCAAGCAAAGGAAAAGGACGGTCTCTAAGATCTGCTTCTCTGCCGTTTCTTCCTTTCTGATACCGACCACGGCCCCCCAGATCAGCATGGATCTTCTGTGCCCATTCGCTCCCGCGTGCCCGGTTTGAACCGGAAATGCGAGGCGAAAGGGGAAATGTGTATTCATCGGTTTTTCATTTTCATTTTCTTTAGGGACTAGGAGCATTCGAGCGGTTTACAATGATATGAATTTTGTGTCTATCTAGATTTGGTTGATGCCAGGGGCAGAGGCAAGATTTCATTGAGAGTAGGGATGAACCATGCTGTTTTAAAATTTTCACTGAAACTGTATCTAAAATTTGGTATTTTCGCATTGAAATTATTTGTCACGAGTGGGGGCTTAAGCCCAAGTTACCCCACACATGATTTTCGTCCCTGGTTGATGCTTCGTCATGCTAGAACAGAGAAGATATGCCGACCTTGGTTATTCAACCGTGTATGATAGCTCAGCGAGATTAGTGTGATGCATCACATTCGGATGATATATGTAGGTTTTTGAATTATAGGCTAAAGGCTAATATTAATGTGTAAGAGTCTTTTTATTGCCGTTAATTGGGTCCATTTGAATTTTCTATTTGGTTATGTATCTATAAATAATGAATTTTTGGAAAGATTAATATCTATAATATTAAGGAGCTGCAACTTTTTTTTGCTTGTCTATTTGTCATATAAATATAATCTTACGCTTTATGCCTAAAAAGTATACAGTTAAATATATGTTTGCTAAATTTTAATCAAATTCAAAGATAAGTTGCTTTAGACTTGATAGTCTGAAGACTCTGAACAAGAGGAGTGAAATATCCTCACAGAAGAAAATAGTAAAGTGGGGTAAAAAAAATAGTACAATCTCTACCAACTTCACAAGTAATCACCATTGAGTCTCAACTAATGCAGCACAAGGGGGTTACACAAGGCTTACGTTCATAAGATCCCCCAGATTGGATTCCTTGGCCTGAACAAATCTCGAAGCTTTAAAGGCAGAAGCTGGTGGGGTAATAAAGTCCAACAGTAAATAAATCAACGGTTCAAAAACATGGGGCAGACATCCCAAACTTTGCATGAAAAACAATTCACAATCAACTGTTTAAACAAACCATCTGAGTCATTTTTTCAGATAAACACAATTGTTCTGCTTCTTGCCTTGCAGATGCAGCTGATGCACTTGTCACCAAAAAAAAATTCTCATATCCTTTTCTGAGTAAAGAAAATGTTCTTCTCTTTTCTTCAAACTGACTAGACATCTGAAATATTCTTGTCTATAATAGTATATGAGTCCAGTATACCTTTTCAAGATTGTTTTTGATATCTTCTCTGTAAAGGAGAATATATAATGTTCCATAGAAGATATCTTTCTTTAGGGCCAATGGAACTGCCTCCTTAGGTATCTGATATACTGTTAATCCTTTGGTTTAGAATAATATCTCTGTTTATTTTCCAGGTGCAGAGTCAGCTTAGGGTCATGGACTCGTGGTATATTTTAAAAGCTTATTTGGATCTTGATTGTTGTGTAAACTTACTAGGATCATATTTAGACTGTTTCTGTTACTTTGAAGAAATATTAACCGGCCAGCACATTTTATTTGAGATCCTTGGAACATATTTTTAAGCCGCACATTTCGTTTTCTTTTCTTGATAGCATCGAAGTGACTTTTCTTTTTAAGAAAATGGCGAATCTTGGAACAGTCTGAACTTGGTTAACTGATTATTGGAGCTCCAAACATTCCACTCGATAACCTAAAATATTCAGGTTAGGTACATCTCCAGAGTCACAGATGCCAATGTTTTTTTTTCCCCTTTAGAACCAAATGATAATGATTGACCCAGCTTTCAAAAGTTGAGAAATACTATTGTGTTGAATACTTAGCATCACAGCAACATAAAATGTGATTCTTTACAATATACAAAAATTTGAATAGATGGTCTACATGTATTTATGTGAAATACCACAAATATGTTCTCAATGCATGAAGATATCTGCATTGAAATTTGATAGAACAATATATACTTCTTCATTCATACGTTCGTTTAGAAAAGGATGATACATGTAAAATATGAAGTCAAGAACTGTAAAACCTCCAAAATATACTATTCTTATGCGCTAACATTGTACTGTTGCAGTGGAAAGAGAAAAATGCTGCTCTGTTGAATCTTGAGTTCCTGTCTTCTGCTTTTTCAGAAGGCCCTAACCATAAACCTTTGTTTCGGTTTTGTCTAACCAGATGAAGTGAAGGCCCTAACCATGAACTATCCGACCATTGTCAGTGTTTTGTCAGTCACCCCCATCATCATCTGTCGTCATGGTAACAGTCATTAACAGAGCAAACCTGATGGCAGATGCGCAGAAGCTGATGAATGCCTCAAGCTTTCAACACATCCAAGGCTGTTCACTCAATCAAAGAAGCTTCTGTACCATGTCCTACCACCTTCTTGATTGCAGGCAGTACAAGGAATGGTGCTTCCTTTCTTCAGATCACATGATCTGCAAGGTTAATGACCAGGCAGAGGTTCCCAAATTTGCAATAGCCTATAAGCATGCATTGCCCTAATAAACGACTCACTGCACAAGCAGCTCATGGCCTGCTGGAACACAGCCAACATGCTTAACATGCGAGCTCAATCTGTCAACCATCTCAGATATCTGGTCTGAATCTTGGTGCTTTCTATCCCCCACGGTGAACTCATGGAACGTCTCATTGAGTTCGACCCAGCTTGATCCTGCTGTTTTCTGCGACCCAGTTCCTTTCATCTGCATCCTTGCCTTTGCCATGTCACTCCACTGCCCAGCCTCAGCATAGATGTTCGAGAGGACAGCATAGTTCCCTGCATTCGACGGCTGCAGCTTGCTCAACTCGTTCACTGCTATTTCTGCATACTCCACATTCTTATGCAGTCGGCATGCACTGAGAAGGGATCCCCATATAACCTCATTAGGCTCCCAAGGCATGCTTTTGATGAGGTCGACAGCTTCCTTGATGAGCCCTCCACGGCCAAGAAGGTCGATCATACAACCGTAATGCTCTATCTGAGGCATGATGCCATAATCCCTCTCCATGTTGGAGAAATGCCGGCGGCCCTCATCCACAAACCCCATGTGTGTGCATGCACTAAGAACATTGATCATTGTCACAGCATCAGGGTTAAATCCCTGTTGCTTCATTTGAGCAAAGAGCTCCAGTGCCTTGTCTCCATGCCCATGCATTGCAAAACCTCCAATGATGCTGTTCCATGACACCGAATCCTTCTGAACAGTCTCAGTGTCAAAGACATAATCCGCTCGGTTCACACACCCACATTTGCAAAACATGTCAATCAGTGCATTGCACACATGGGTTGATCTCCCTAGATTCCTCTTTCGCACGTATCGGTGAATCCTCTTTCCAAGTGAAAGAGAGCCTGACTCTGCACACGCAGCCAGGATACTCACAACCGCGGCAACATCAAGTTCCACGGAAGCCTCCTTCATCTGAGCAAACAACTTACCTGCCTCATCAACAAGCCCTTTCTGTGCACATGCCGAGACCATTATAGTCCATGTCACCAAGTTCTTGCTAGGCATCTTGTCAAAGATCACCCGAGCCATCTCCAGGTCACCCTTCTTGCAGTAACCAGAAACCATCGTCGACCACGACACGACATTCCTCTCCGGCATGCGCTGAAACAGCTCGAAAGCCGCCTCCACCTCCCCTGCCTTTGTGTAGCCATCCAGGATCGTGTTCCAGCTCACCGTGTCCTTCTCTGGCATCTCGTCAAACAACTTCCTCACGCCAGCCAGCTCCCCCTCCCGCACCATCGCCGCCATAGCCGTGTTCCAGGACACGACATCCCGCTCCGGCATTTCGTCGAACACCTTCCGGGCGTCCGAGAACCCGCCGTTCTTGGAGTAGGCGTCGATAAGCGCGTTCCCGACGAAGGTGTCCTCGACGGACCCGAGCTTGACGACGTGCGAGTGCACCGCGCGGACCGGGGCGACGCCCGCGGCGGAGAGCGCCTTGATGAGGAAGGAGTAGGTGAAGCTGTCCCTGCGCGGCATGGCGGAGAACGCGGCGAGCGCGTCGCGCGGCGCGCCCCCCCAGCGCGTAGGCGCGGAGCATGGTGTTGGCGAGGAAGGCGTCGGCGTGCGGGTCCCGGATCGCGTCGAAGACGCGGCGGGAGGACGGGAGGAGGCGGAGGAGCGCGTAGGCGGACACCAGCCTCGCCGCGGCGCGCGGGTTGAGGTGGAGGCCCTGCTTGAGCACCTGCGCGTGGAGCTCCCGCACGTGGGCGGCCCGCGGGAGGCCGCGCGGCAGCGACGCCAGGTGCTGCTCCACCAGCCGCCTCTGCGACGGCGCCCCCCACGTCGGCGGCGGCCGGACCGCCGATGCCGACGACGACGCGGCCGTGGACATGGACATGGACCACTTCACGAATCCTCTTCGGCGGCGGCGGCGGCGGTCGCCGGAGAAGAGGCGTGGCGAGAGAGGCGTGGCCGGTGAGGAAGGGGAAGCTGGAGAAGGGGCTAAGGTTGTTGTCTCCGGGTGGCTGACAGGTGGGCCCGGGCAAAACCTCTTCCAGGTGGACTAGGATTAGACGTGTAGTGAGGCGTTTGGTTTGGTTGGGCCTGACTATATGTGGGCTGGCCCTATGCAACGATGCATTTAGCCTCGGAAAAAGTCCACTTAGACTCCCTTAATTGTTCACCGAATCTAATTCGTCACCCTTAACTGTAAAACCGGATAGGACGACTCCCTAAATTATTGAAACCAGTGTAATTTGACTCTTCCAGCGGTTTTGGAGGGTGGTTTTGCTCACGTGGCGCTGACGTGGTGAGCGGGAAGAAGCAGCCGCCGCAGGGGCTAGACCACCGGGTGATGGTGGCGCTGGTCAAGATGGTCGCCGCCAACTTGTTCCTGCCTCCGGGCAATGCCGCCGTCCGCCTACCCGTCGTCGCTCCCGCCGCCGTCCGACGTGCTCGACGACGAGGTCCCCGTGATGGTGCTGCTCCCGTCGATCGTGGCCGCACCTCCACCTCGTCTACGACGTGCTCACCGCCGCGGTCGCCGCCGCGGACACCAGGACGCTCCGCAACCACGTCGACCGGAGCTTCCTCGTTGGCCTCGTGGCGCTCTTCGCCTCCGAGGATCCGCGCGAGCGCGACCGCCTCAAGACCGTCTACCACCAGCTCTACTCCAAGCTCACCGTCGAGCGCGCGTTTATGCAACGCACCATGGCCGTCGCGCTGCTCCGGTTCGTCTACGGCACGTCCCCGGCGGAGCCCGAGCGCCATTGCGGCGTCGGCGAGCTGCTCGAGATCTGCGGCAGCATCATCAATGGCTTCGTCGTGCCGCTCAAGGAGGAGCACCGGGCGTTCATGGCGCGCATGCTGCTGCCGCTGCACCGGACGCGGTGGGTGCACACATGCCACCGCCAGCTCTCCTACTGCGGCAGCATCCGTCGTCCGGGACATCTTCCTCCGCCACTGGTCGGCGACCAACTGCCAGAAGGAGGTGCTGCTCATCGACGAGCTCGAGGAGATCGTCGAGATCCTCGACCAGCACCACTTCGACAAGCTCGTCGTCCCTGTCTGCTCCCGGATTGCCCGCTGCGTCAGCAGCTGCAGCTCACAGGTTTGTGTGCTTCTTCCTCCATTTTCACAATCGATTTCATTTCAGTAAAAAAAAATCGATTTCATCTACATTTCCACATTCAATTAAGTAGCACATGCATAATTACTGCTTGCTTCCAACATCCGGGTTCGCGCTGGATCCGAGCGCCGGCCGGGCCTAGAGGGGGAGCGGCGGTGGGACTGCTTGGAGACGGGGCAGGCGGTGGCGCGGCCGTCGCCGCTCCAGCCCTCGCCCGCACGCTGCCGTCGCCACTCCAGCCCCCGGCCGCCGCCGCCATCGATGCTTCCGAAGGGGGAAGAGAAAAGGGGGAGAGAGAAGAGAGAGAAGGGAGAGAGAGAGAGGGAGGAGGAAGAAGAAGGGAAGGAAAAAGGATGACACGTGGTCCATATGTAGGTGGGTCCCATGATATATTTTGTGTTTGAATGGCAGATGGGCCCCACATATATTTTTTTAATTCTAAATGCCACATAAGTGCCACGTGTAATGAAAACCGGGTTAGCACTGCCACATCAACGTCATGTTAGCAAAACCGCTCTCCAAAACCGCTGGAGGAGTCAAATTGCACTGGCTTCAATAATTCGGGGAGTCATCCTACCCGGTTTTACAGTTAAGGGTCACGAATTAGATTCGGTGAACAATTAAGAGAGTCTAAGTGGACTTTTTCCTTTAACCTCCGTCCCTCGCGCCACTCCCCAGTTCGCTCCCCGACCGTATCCCGCCGCTGCTGTGGGAGGAGGCGAATGGAAGCGGCACCGGCCCAAGGAGGAGCGGCGGCTTGGCCGTCCGCGTCGAGGCGCCGAAGTTAAGGCTGCGGCAGCCAGCGCCGCTTCCCATCTCACTCCCCGACCGCATCCCGCCGTCGCCGTAGGAGGAAGCGGAAGCGGTGCCGGCCCAAGGAGGAGCGGCAGCTGCGCCGTTAGCGTCGGGGCGCAGAAGCTAAGGCTGTGGCGGCCAGTTCCGTCCTACACCGACATCGCGCTGCTCCCCCCTCTCCCGACCACATTCCGCCGTCGCTGTGGGAGGAAGCGGATGGAAGTGGCATGAGGCAGAGGAGGCCGACGGCGATGGCTTTGTCAATTGGGCAAACGGGTCCTTCCCCGGGCTGCCGAACGTCGTCCCCACCGCCGGATGCCGACGCCGCCGACTGCCGCCCCTAGTTCCGCTGCGCCCCGATGCCGCCAGCCGCCGCTGCCAACGAGAAGAAAGAGAGAATATAGGAGGGAGTCATTGACAGGTGGGTCCCACTTTATTTTTAAAATTTATTTGATGACTGGAATGCCACGTAGGTGCCACGTCAGCGAAACCGCCCTTCAAAACCGTTGAGTGAGTCAAATTGTACTGGTTTTAAGAGTTTGAGGGTCGAGATATCTGGTTTTGTGGTTTAGGATCACGAATTAGATTTCGATCACTTTTGAGGGTCACGAAGTGAACTTATTCCTTCTTGATGGGTCTGACGGTTTGGGCCCGTTTGGTTATGGGCCTAGTTGAGCGATCATTTTGAGTTGGGCTTAGCATGGGCCGTCATTGTACTTGGGCTGCTAGAGCAAAAGCTATCATAAACATTTTTGTCATTTAGCAATTTTAGTACTCCTTTTCTTTTTTGAAACGGCAAGATAAATGTCATGAATGCGAGAAGATTAAAACGGCTAATGCCAGCTGCATGCCGGATTTCAAAGCCAGAAAAAAATTTGAACGAATACATGCTTTGGATTCCATCAATGTGTTTGTACACATGACCTTTTTTTTTTCATCAAATGAAAAGTTCAAAACAAATATGAAAAGTAGACGGAAGAAAACAAAAAGGAAAAAAAGAAAGGAAGAGATGCTCTGCTGCTCTGGTGGGACCCACCTCAGGGGAGGGGATCAGCTTGACTCACCCTGACACGTCCTGACTCGCCAACCGCCTCTGCCTCCAAGTGCGTGCTAATCCTAATCTCTCTCTCGTCATTAGCAGCGCTAATTAACCCAAAGTACATAAGATTAGCAGTAATCCGTAATTAGTGGAGTAATTAATCACCAAGCAATGGCGCTGGCTTGGCTTGGCTTGGCTTGGCCCGCGCGCGAAGAAGAAGATTCGTTCAACGATCGGACGGCCATCCGGAAAGCAAGGAGAAAAATGGAGGGACAGGATCGCTGCTTAATTAGCTGGCAATTGCTTTCTTCGCCGCTACGTATCATGCATGGACAATGCATGTGCTTGTGCTTCCCCTTGGTTTAATTCTCGCTTCGCTTTTTTACTCCTCCCTTTGGTTTACTCACAAACTTTTTTTCAAAAAAGAAAAATCTTGATGGTTAGGAGTATTTAAGATACTTGGTGATTTTTTTCATACATGGTATAATACTATAATTTGGATATGGAGAACTCATACACACTACGCTTTGTGCCAAATACAATAAAAATGAGACGATCTAGATCATGTTGTTTATAGTACGTAAATAGAAGAGATAGATATGTCAAGTTATGATGTTTGTATATAGAGGAGGAAAGTATATGATATATTTATCCTACACATTGTTTCCTTCTCGCTTTACACGTTAGTATTTTGGTTCGCTCGCACCTTTTTCTATCTTAATTATTACTTATCCACACATTGTCGACGTGGTTATGTATGTATACCGTTTATTAGAAAAGCATACCGACAATGTAGCGTTCTCGATATATTTTCCAGCATTGTTTCTTTCCGCCTTTTTACGTAAGGTATTTTCGAAAACAAATTATACACAATCAACAACATATGTGTCGTTTATCGCGATGGTAATGGATACGTTTAATCCTTTTTTAATTGCTTCCAAGTACCAATATAATCACACTCTTCACGACCCTCCCACATTTCTTACTCATCCTTACACCATCTCAGCCACCCAACGCACGATCCGACGGTCCACAATCCATCAACAGCACAAGGTGCGGTTCTACCACAGCCGCAGAGGCATACAAAGCTCATCACGGCCGTCCAGATCCGATCGGACGGTGGGGGATCGCTCCAACCCCAACCATTTCTCTCTATAAAAGCCGGCCATGGCGGCCACAAGCCAAGCTCACCGCCACCACTCCATTGCCATCTTCTTCCACCTCCAGCCTCCTCCTCCGCCTCCAATGGAGCTTCCCCTGGACAAGGCCGCGGCCCGCTCCACCCCACTCGCGCTCCCCGCCGCTGGGGCGGCGGCGGCGGCGAACCAGTCCCCGGCGTCTCTGCCACTGGGACCACCCGCGGCCGCCTCCGCCAAGCCCCTCGTCGCGGCCGCCAACCCGCCGCTGCTGCCGGTGGTGGCTCCGGCGGCGGCGGCGCCCAAGTCGTCGTCAGGGTGAGCTGTGTGTGGTGTGGGGTTTTGCTGTGTTCTTGTGTGTTCTTTGGTGGTTCTGAATTTGCTTGGTTTCTTGGAGGAAAAACTTGTGAGAAAATTGCACTGCGAGATGGGGGCAGGTTTGGATGTTTTGGTATCCAAAGCTGCACTCCTCTGTAGTTCGCAGTTAAAGTTGCAGCAGAATACTTTGCGTTTGCATTTCTTTTTCGCTGATCGAAACGATCTCATGTGTTCTTGGTTGTGCTTGCTCTTGATCATGCCGATGATCCTAGTGACATCCAGGGGTAGAGATCTATTTTGGCTTCCTCGAAAGCCCGGTTGATGATCTCTCGGTGTCTTGGAGAGGCAACCATGCTGCAGAGTACGTGTGTTCTTGGGTTTCTTTGGATGTTCTTGGAGGAGGAGAACTTGAGAAGTTGTTGCACTGTGAGATGGACAGCTTTGGGTGTTTTAATATCCAAAGCTGGACTCCTCTTTTCGCAGTTAAAGTTGCAGCGGCAGATGCTCTCTCTTCGTTTGCGTTTCTTCTGCGTTGAGATCTCGTGTTCTTGGTTGGGTAACGAAGCTGCATATATATGCTTTTCATGCCGATCCATGCATCGAACGGTAGAGATCTCTTGGGTTCATCGGAAGCCCGGTTGATGTGATGATCTCTCTCGGTTTCTTGGACGCAAACGCGTGCATGCAGCGTTGCAGTAGTACGTGTGATGTTCCAGGGTTTCTTTTGGTTGGTTTGAGTTGAGACTTGAGAACGATCGATCGACGACTAAAGGCTTGAACAGGTTGGATTTCTGCCGTCTTTTGGTTGCATGGAGGGTGTGGATGTTCTTGAACTTTTGGTGTTGGATCTTTGTTTTTCTTGGGAGGTTTTGGTTTGGCTTCTAGGTTTCTAGGTAAAGGTAACCATAGATCCAGAGTTGAGCTCAAAATGTTCGTCTCAAAGCTGCATGCAAGAGATCAATAGTTTTTGCACAGCTTGACGACGAGTTCGACGTACGTGCTAGCTTTTGCTTTTCTTGTTCGGACGATCAAAAGCCTGCATGCTTTCTTGGGTCTCGAATTGCTTTACTTTCTTTTCTGATCGTTTTATGCATGGCTGCTTTTAATTTGATCTTGTCTTCACTCCAGGGGTTCATGCCTTCTCATGCATGATCTACCCACTCACGTTCTTTCTCTTTTTCTTTTTTTTTGTCGTGCCATTTTTTTTTCCTTGATGACAAGCAATATTATTCGGTTCTTGGTTTCTTGAGTAGTATTTCTAGGTTTCTTGATAAGTATGTTTCAATGATTTTGGTTCAAGAGTTTCTGGGTTTTCTTTGGTGTTTTACTGCCAGGAGGGGTCAAAAGTTAAGCCCCTTTTGCTTTTTTTTTAGCTTCTTTGTTCTAGCTTTGTGTTTTTGGTGTTTTTTTTTTTGTCTTCTTCTTGTGGATGAATGCCTCGGTTCTTGTACTGATCTGCCGGTATTTTTGTTCAAGCTTTGGTCCCCCCTTACTCCATTTAGAGATTTCGGTTGTTTTATTTATGATTATTCATCGTGTGCAAGTTGATAACTATGGTACTTTGGATCACTTTGTGCTTCACCTTGATCTTGTTTTGTCACAACATGAACTAGTGCAAGGTGTTAGTCCCCCCTTTTTTAGCTTTCTTGAACATCTTGAAGCTTATTTCTGGTCATGCGGGTCAGGCTAAAGTTTCATCTTGAAGTTTGTCTGAAATCTTCAAGTATATTTGTATAATAATATACTGTGTAACATTAGTTCACTGTTCCCGTATTAATTGCACTGTTCAAGTATATTTTAAGTGTAACATTAGTTTTTAGCTGTGTTAAGAGTTCACTGTTCATTTATTGCATTATTCATCATTTAGTACTACATTAAACCTTGACATATACACAGTTGTACCAATTAAACCTACTGCATCGTTTGAAATTCCGTTTGGGTTAATTCTAACATCACACCGTCTATTAGATATGATCAGGTTTACTGCTTATTTAGCTTTGTTCAACACCCTGACTCTATTTATCTCTAATCATGTTGTTGTAGGGCCGTGGAAGAGAGCAAAGAGGGTGTGGAAGAGAGCAACAAGAGCAATGTGTTGACCATTGGCAGCATCAGGAGCACGCTGATGAAGCATGAGGACACCATCATCTTCGGCCTTCTGGAGAGGTCACAGTTCTGCTACAACCCGGACACCTACGACCCCAACGCTTCCAGGATCGTCCGGTTCAATGGCTCCCTGGTCGAGTTCATGGTTAAAAAGACCGAGAAGATGCATGCTAGAGTGAGTTCATTCATTTCTGCATTCTGAATTTGTGACAGGGACAGAATAATGTTGTGACATCCTTTCAGATGGGGAGGTACAAGAGCCCGGATGAGCATCCTTTCTTCCCTGAGAATTTGCTGGAGGTGGTGGAGCCATCTGTTGAGTATGAGAATGTAATATATATATCTCACTCCCCCAATTTTAGAGTCACTTTGTGATAATGTGATTTATGTGTTGACTGTTAAATCTGTCTGTGTTTTACTCTTTTTGTGCCATGCTGATGTGCTGTACTTTTTGACAATGTGATTTATATGTTTAAATCTGTCTGTCTTGCCATGCTGTTTACTAGCTCTGCAATTCCAGTTCTTTCGTGCACATGCTGATAATGATATTGGTATTAGGTTCTTATGATAATGTGATCATGTCACTGTTTCCTAATATAAATTTCTGAACTTACTACTTATGATTGGTGACATTTAAAATTAGAAGTTTCAGGTCAACATCTTAGTAACCATCTATATTCAGTCATCTGCTACTCTTTATTCAGAACAAATTGTCTGTTACTGTCTGTCTCCAAAATCATGTCATCAGCAAAAACTGTACTATTTGATACTGAACCTTACAAAATTGGCACTTGTGTACACACTACACAGGTTCTGCATCCAGCTGCTGCTAACATCAACATAAACAAAAGGATCTGGGATGTGTACTTTGGTGACCTTCTGCCAAGGCTTGTGAAGGAAGGAAGTGACGGTAACTGTGGATCGAGCGCATGCTGGGACATGTTAATTCTGCAGGTGATTTTGTTTGATAATCTGATCACCTCACATTTAAACTCATGTCACAACTTAGTCTTGAAACCTTGAATGTATTATGGGTAGTCCAAATGACAAGTGATTTCTTGTTGAAACAATATTATTGTGCTTATGATCCAATGTTGCAGTTTACACAGAATTTCTTAAACTCTTAATGTGGCACCCTGCTCAAAAAATGAAATTAGTATGTGAAACATGTTTTGGGCCTCATGAAAATTTGTGCAACCAGAAGTTCACTCCTTTTTTCTTTGGTTTGAACTGAACTTGGGAAACTCTTGCAATTGCAGGCACTCTCCAAGAGGATTCACTATGGCAAGTATGTGGCAGAGGCTAAGTTCCAGGGGGCACCTGACACGTACACGCCTGCAATCTTAAACAAGGCAAGGATACAGTTCTCTCTCTTTCTTTTTTTCTGAAATGGAACACAGTACAGTTCATCATCTCTACTTCATTGTACATTATCTGCTTGAGTTACTTACTAACCAGTAATCACACAATTAAGCACAACCATCTTAATCTCTAGTACTACATTGCAATCCTGATCTATCAGCATTGTACATCTCACTGATCAAACCTTTTTTTTTGGGTGTTTTCAGGACAGTGACAAGCTGATGGAATTGCTGACGTTCGCGAAGGTGGAGGATGACGTGAGGGCCCGCGTGATGAGCAAGGCCATGACCTTCGGCCAGGTGGTGAGTGAAGATCTGGAGAACGAAATTAAGCTCAAGATCGAGCCGGAGCTGGCCGTGGAGCTGTATGACAAGTGGATCATGCCACTGACCAAGGAAGTGCAAGTGCAGTACCTCCTCAAGAGGCTGGATTGAGTTTTGAGCCCCAACTATCCTTTGCCTGTCCATCTACAAGATGCTCTCTCTCTCCAGTTTCAGTTCTGAACTTGAATAATTAGGCCCTTATGTTTTGTTTTACCAGATACTGCTTTGAGTTCAGTTTTAGTTTCAGTAGTTTGCAGTTTAGTATCTTCATGTAATCCTGTAGTTGAAAGTTCAGTTCTCAGCAGAGCATTTGGTACTGAATTGCAACTTGAATGGAGGTTGTCTGAATTGAAAAGCCAAGATTTGAGCTATTTCTATGGTGAAACATGATCTTGTTGTCAAATGCTTATCTTTGATCTGCTCCTGTCTCTTTACTAGCTTGTCAAAACTATTTCTCTTTTCATTCTTTGCTTGGCCTTTGCCTGTCTTATCTCAAGATATTCACCAGTTTCAGTTCTGAACTGTGGACAGCAGCTTACAACTCAAATAATTAGGCCCTTGTTTTGTTTCTCAGGTTGTGTTGCAGTTCAGCTTTACTTTCAGTAATTGCAGTCTGGTACCTTCATGTAATCATGTAGTTGCAGTTCAGTTTTCAGTAGAACATCAAGTGATTGCAACTTTACTGAATTACAACCTGAACTGTGAGCATCTGAACTGAAACTCAAGATTTTAGCCCATGCTTTGTTTGATCTGCTACTAGTCTCCTTATACTTGATATTTTCATTGCTTTGTCAGTGTCAACATTTGGTCTACTTATACTTTATGTTTATGTCCTGGAACTCTGCTAAAACCTACTACTGGTTTAGGACATCTTAAACTTGGCCAGTTTATGTGAACAGAAAAGCCTAGAATTGGCAAAGGATTTCAGTAAAAATTTGTCTCACAATCCATTTTCTGACACTAGTTGCTTGTCCTGCCTTGTTAGGCAAAAACTACCACACTAGCAATCTAGCATTGTATACCTAACCCAGAATATTCCAAGAGAATGAACTCAGACAAAATATAAAATTTAGTAATGTGTTTTTGCATTTGAGACCTATTGCCATTGCCATCACTAGTTCAGTTGATCTTGGACATTAACATAATAACATGTGTGTGTGTGATCACTGATCAGTAAGTAGTAACATCTGTAATTTCTGTTAGAGTTTTCACAGGAGCATTAGGCAGCTAAATGACAAGCTCAATGAAAGCTCATTACTAATAATCAGGGTTGGATCCAACGTGGGTGCAAGAGTCCCCCCTACAACTACAAGACCCATGGATACCCTCGGAGCACCCCCTTCGATTTTTTCACCATAAATGATAACTAAAGGTTCTTAAATAGCTAGAGGTTGAAGAAACTGCGTAATTGAGCCCCCTAATTTTTTTTTGTTCCTGGATCCGCCCCTGCTAATAATTGGACTGATGGCTGCCACTCGCGGTATATGTCATGTGGGCCCTCATGTGTCTATGACATGTGGGTTCGGTGGTAAATTCTTAATTACTATTTGTAAGAGTGACAAATAGTTAAATATCTTGTTTAATTAAGCAGGTCGCTATCAGAGGCAGAAATGCATAAGCGGGTGCAGATAAACAAACACTAGGCTTGCATGCAAGAGCTGTTGGTCTTGTTGTGAGAATCACATGATGGTGACATGCCAAATTGTCAATGGGAGAGAGAGAGAGAGAGAGAGAGAGAGAGAGAGAGAGAGGAGTTGGGTTGGATGGAGGTCGGTGGTTTAGTTGAGCAGATGCCATCTAATTTTGCTTGTCAACCATATCAGAGATGGGGGCCCTTCAATTTTGCGTGGACCCGTTTCATGCACCATGGGAGGTGTAGAGTACTAAATCCCAACAAAATGACATGGTGTTGCCTTTGGTGAAAACGAAAGTGGCTTCAATATTTTGTAGGTTCGAAATGAAATCTCAAGTGATTATCTATTTCTACTTTTGGTCCAATAGTTATTGATGGATCAATCTTGTAAATTGATATATCAATTATGACAAAAAAAAATGTCTCTATGCCGATTGGACCCATTATCTAAAAATGTGTGACACGTCATAGTTGACAACAACCAAACAATAATTTTGGTCCCTAAAACATAATTAACAACAAATTATTAAATAAGAATAATATTAAACATACAAAATTCATTAACATGAAAACTAGTAGCTAGACTAGAAAACATAACCCATCCTAAAGTTGCATTGTAACTATGGTGTAGTCTTATTATCGCTCTTTTCTTTTTATTATTTTTTCATAAGTACGATTTCTGGTTGAGTAACAATGTGTTGGTAGTGTGGCATGACTTGGTTTCATTTGCACGGTAAAGGAAACGAACTTCTAGAGAAACCAATACTCCTATCAGTACTACCACTATATAGATGACAAACGCTAGCTAGATCAGCACACAAAACATGGATCGAGAAAGTCAGGTGCCAACGGAGAAAGCAAAGTCATGCGCGGATCTCAACGTAAATCCAACGAACATAACACCGACTACTTTTTTTTTAGCTAAAAATTTATTAAGAAAGCCGAAACTCTAACAAAGTTGGCAACAATTTTAGAAGGCAAAAACATAGAAGGGAAGCCATGGAAAAACCATCCTCGGTGGTCCATGGACCGGGTGCACCCCAAACCACCTCTGCATCTCCATTCTCCACCTTCCTCGGTTCCAAATTCCACCTGCATCGCTACTCCAACTCATCATCAGCAGCAGCAAAAGCCAGCCAGCGACCTCTCCATTCTCTCCAAATCTCTCTCGCTTTCCATCTCCATTTTCCTCGCAATCATTCCGTTCAGTTATATCTGCTCGTTGCTCGTTGATTCGCTCGCTTTCTGTCCCTGCGATCTGTCGCCGCCGTCGTTTTGCCGGCGAGAACGGCGGCTAGGGAGGCGGCGGCGGTGAGTCTTTGGGTTTCTTGCCCGCTGTGTGTGTGTTGTTCTTGTGTTCATCAAGTACTCAAAGTTTCGGGGGTTATTTTTTTCTTTTTACTGATGAGATGGTGTTGATATGATAGCACTGTTTGATCACGATTTGATTGAATCAATTAGTAATTGATTATTAGTTATCACTATGTTTTATGTATCCTGGAATCTTGGAATGGATCGCTTCGTTTTATTGATTACTGAGCGAGATTTATTATGTTTTGAGGACTGGATTTATCATGCCATTCACTCATTAATTATCTGATTAACTTGCATGTCCTGCTGATGAATTATGTGGCTCCTATTGTCATCAAGTAGGCAACCCAAACCTACTGTAGTGTTGCATATGCAGCAATACAATATAAATAGAAGATTAAAGTTCTGTATTTATCATGCTATGTATGTTCTGCGATCTCCACATTTTACATTGTTGTGTGCTTGTGTCGGATGTAAGTATGCTAGTTCTTCATGTGCTCACATGTGTGTCTGCATTGTGAAAAATTGCAGCATCTGTGCTCCTAAATGACAGAGGAAGTGGTCAAAGAGGTTATCATAGTCTCAACTCCCGAATCATCTAAATCGACAAGCGGCGATTTCCCGGTGAATTCTCTTGAAAATGTGGATGTCAGCAGTGTGCCATCTGACCTGAAGAGGAAGGAGAAGTCAGTGCCACATTACCTGAGAGCATCCACTGGTTCTTGCCATGACAGCTGCAAATTTGGGGCACATCATTCCCCTGAACCCAAGAAGTACTGGCCTGTTCGTCGCAGGCGACATCAGGACCGTGCCAATGCCGGGTGCGGAAAGCAAGGCCAGGATGAAATCCAGACACAAAAAGGCAGATCCAGAAACAAGGACCTGGAGCTGAAGATTTGTCTTGTGAAAGATGGTAATGTTCATGACAAGCCTGAATTCATCGAGGTGAAGAAGCCGCCTATTGAAATGGCATCTGACAACTCTGAAACCTCACCATGCGTGCAAGATCAGTTGTCATCAGCTGAAGAATCCAAACGTGTTGAGGATGGAGCTGATCTGCCATGTGGTGATGATAAATTCTTGATCCCTGATGGCAATGCTGCATGTTTTGTGGATGGAGAATCATCAGAGGGAGCTGTAAGCATTGAGCTGGAGATGCCGTTGGCCATCCAGGACAGTGACGCGTCTGACGATCATATCGCAGATGCCATTTCGCCTCCTGAATGTGTGTACAAAGCTGGTGAACAGTTACTTGTGGATGACATGTGTGATGATGGATCAGGAAATGAGTGTGCAGGTTCAGAGAAGAAGAGCACTCAGATTGTGATGGCCTCCGAGAAGCGTGAAAAATCTGGGCATGGAACTAAATCGAAGAGTTTGTATAATGTTTCAGTAAAACCGAAGGTGAAAGAGACATCGACTGCAACGCGAAGCAATGCGTCAAGCCAGAAAATTGTAAGAACATTGGATCGGAAAGCTTCAGGTACAACAATTGAAAGCTCCAATGGATCAAAGGTAGTGAGAGCCACCAAGTTCAATAGGGACAAGAAATTCAGATCTACCGTCGCATCGAATGTACCAAAAGTGAAGGAGATCAAAGTTACATCACCAGCTACTGTGATGGATCAATCTTCCAAACCTACTAGGCAATCAAAGCTGAAGTCCTTGGTTGCAAATGATGCTCCATCTCCATCAGTTAATTCAGAGAAACAAACTGACAGAAAGATGACAGTGATGAATGTTGCCAAGAATGCTCGTGTTTGGCAAAAGAAGGAAGAAGAGAAAATAAGTCCAGTGAAACTGTCTCGTTCTATAAACTTGTCATCCAAGTCCCTTTTGAGCATAAAGATGAGAGCAGTCAAGAAAGAAAAACCTGCTTCCCTAGTGAAGAGCAACAAGAAGGTGTATGGAGCAGAAAATGCTGTTGCTGACGTTAAGGAGAAAAACCTGAAGTCAGCTTCACCAAAAGTGAGAAAAGTAGAAGTTAGCAAGAAAGAAAGCCGTTCTCAGAAAGGTACTACATTTTGTTTGCCCCCCTGTCAACACCATGTTCAAAGATTTGCTTAATTTACATTCAACATTACTACAGATTTCACATGATAATCTGTCTGTTTATGTCATGATTGACAATAAGGTTTACCTTCTTTTCTCCCCATCCTAATTCAGTAATCTTGCATCCAACATTACTACAGACAATTTATGCAGAAAACACTTGTTTCTCAAGCAAACATTGACATGTGCTCATTCAAATTTAGCAGAAAATTCTGCCACTCCAAGAACTGAAAACACAAGGCAGCCAAAGTCCTCAACCATCCCAGCGCAGTCGCCTCGCAAGCTAACTTTCCGACGAGGAAAGGTACTGAACCTACAGAGCAATTCAGAGTCGAGCAGCACGCCGAGACGGCTCCGGTTCAGGCCTGCAAAGACTGTAGAAGACAGCAACAGGAGCAAAGAATCCACCAGAGGGAGAAGGAAGAGTGACAGTGCAGCCTCTTCCGGGTCAAAAGATTCAGGCTCTTCGAAACCTGAAGTTGTCATCCTGAGGCATCAGGATGTCAGGGACAAGAAGAAGAACGAGCAGGGATTGTTGAACAATGTGATCGAGGAGACAGCGAGCAAGCTTGTGAGACGAGGAAGAGCAAGGTGAAGGCCCTCGTCGGCGCCTTCGAGACAGTGATCTCGCTTCAAGAAAGTAAGGTGGCTCCAGTTACAGCTGCAGCTCTGAGCTGAATGATGTGTGTTTTCGTTTTGGAGCTTGTGAACTTCCTGTAAATTTTGGAGTCTTTGAAGTTTGCATGTTTGAGGTTTTTCTCATAGTCATAGGACTTGGTGCTTAATTAGTGAAATACAGGACCAGTACCTTTTGTGTTTGCGCAATAATTTACCAAATACAGAAAATATACAGTGATTATAAACTAGGAAAACTATATTCATCCCTTAAGGGGATATCCCCTCGTTTTTGTATGCCACTTAAAAATTATTAATTTTTTTTTAAAAAAATTAGTATGATAGATCAATATGTGATATATCACTTCACAAACATGCATATTCAAATTCAACTTATACAAATAAAAACAAAAATAACAAATTTGACTATGAAAAGAACGTGTAATTCACGGTCAAATTTGTTGTTTTTGTTTCGAATTGTATATGTCGAATTTTAATTTTCATGTTTGCGAAAAGATATATCATATATTGATCTATTTTTACAATTTATTTCAAACTTTTTGATAACTTTTTAAACACCATACACAAAACGAGGGGATGTCCCCTTAAGAGATAAAAATCCACTTCTTATAAACTATGCTGAAGTTCATTTCAGTGGCTTAATTCCTAAACTGTGTTAGAATCTGCCAATTTTGATTCTTTTTTTTTTGCTTCATTTCCTGTGCTTGCTTCCTACTTGCAGCAGGTTCAATGTAATTTACGTATGTTGAGTTCCAAGGACGATTTGATCATTCTTGGTGGCTTGACTGGAACGTTGACCATGGAGTCTAAGCTGAGGTGATTTAGTTGAGCAGGTCAAACCCATCAAAACCACCATTCATGTATGGATTCAGGGGGCTCCTGCAGTAGCATCAAAATTGAAAAGTATAAGATGTGACGCCCAAATCCAATTTGGGTTTATAAATTTCATTTGGCATATCAATTGGAATTCAGAGTCAACATTTGAGGGAAGAAGCGGCCAGAGAATTCCAACACGTAATCAGTCCAATGATTTGGACCAGTTTGTGACAATATGATACTATGATGACACAATGAACAACGGAAGCACCCAAAAGGATGTAGGATATAGATAAATATTATTTGAATATGAAAATGAAAAACAAAGTCTTGGTTTGAAGTAGTTGGATGAGCATGCCTTGTATGACATACTCTTCATCTAACCATTTCTAATATTATAATATTGGACTTTAGGACAAGAACGAATCATGCCATTTAAAAGGATACCACATTATCTAAAAAAAAAACAAGGGTATCAATATCACTGAGTTTTTTTTTTATTTTGGGCAAGCAATTTTTCCAGTGCTCACCAGTTACTTCATGTTCCTGGCATCTCACAAATTTACCTCCAGCATTTGTGAATCATAATACGGTAGATTTGCAGCAGATAATTGGAAATAAAGATGTACAGCCAATTACTGATATTAACCAGTGCCATTTTCACAGGGCAGGCAGTTATGTCAAATTGTCAAGTGCTTTTACCCTCATTCATTCTAGAATCATAGGTAAATAGTATCAACTAATTGCATATTTGCATTAGGTGACCATTGACTACTGAGATCCTGATAGCAATAAAAAGGAATAGAGGATGATGATTGTGAGTTAGTAGTATCCCTCAGCACAATCATGATACAGTTGCAAACATTGATTTAATTAGGATAGGTTTTTGGATCAATACATTGGATGGAAAGGTTTGTTTGTCTAAGCCTACCCACTCAACAAGTGCAAGTTGCATCTCAGAGGAAAGTGGATAGAAGCAAGGTCACCTTTTTCTCTCCACTTTGTTTTTTTTTTGTCCTTTTGAAAACACGCAATTTGCATTGAAATTGTGATGTGGATTGGTTAATCTTTGACTTGCATCTCCCCAATCCTTTTCGTCCTGTAAATCAAAACTTAGTATTTGGACTTCTTGCTGAAAATCACATCAAGCCATAATTCCTTGCTCTTTCTTCAAGCCAAGAATTAACAGCCCTAATCACTTTCTCATGTGCCATTTCATTAACTTTGATGTTCTTTTGGCACCAAAAAAAAAGTATAACAGGTGTTTATCTTGGTAAAAAAATCGTTTTTTTTTCACAGAGACTCTTGCAGCTAATTGGAACATTGTCGTCAACTTATGCCCATACTTTACCCGGTCAACAGACAACAGCTATGATATGCCTGCTGCTGAGTAATGGGCCCCACATGTCTGCCATTCATCTCACACCAACTACACTACACTATTTCCAGATGAGAAAAATCCAACACGTAAATGACTCTATATCCTACATGTGAACAAAATATTTCTACAAAATCCAAGATACTCATAATTCTTTTACCCAGAAATCAAACTAAAATTCCTCAAATATCATGCAGGAATCAGGATGTAATAAAAAAGTTGTTATTTTTATCAAGCAGGAATCAGGATGTAATAATAAAAATGCAGGAATCAGGATATTATTTTTAATACAACCTGGAGTCAGAATTTTTTTTTTGTTTTATCATGTCTCCTCTGTTGCGGCTGTTGCCTTCAGATTTATTAGACCAGTTCATCTCAACCCAGAAAAGAAAACAACTGAGGCAGTAACTTTCCAGAAGCACATGTAAAGAACAAAAACATCACTGTTTAAAGGTTAGTAGGAGCATTAGTACTTATTTTTTAAAAAAGATAATACAGTATTAGTACTCTAAATCTAATTAGGAGCACATAGCTTTCTGTACTATAGCAAGGGAAGAGTGAGAGTAGCTTCCAAGGGAGACATAAAAGAGAGGCAGCAACTACCACCAATACTTCTACTTCCTCAAGAATCTCTCCTCTTCTTTTCTATCCAAGAACCGCTCAAAAGCTCGAACCTTGCGCAATCTTTTTAAATCCTCCCGACCATTTCCTCCGGGTTTGATTCTGGGCAGAGATTGCGAGGGGAAAGATACGAGCTTTTCTTGGCTTCTTTCCCCTGCATTGGGAAAGATACGAGCTGTTGCTGTTCTTGGGAAGAACAGCTTGGGACATTCTTGGGTTGGGGTTTGATTCCCAGGTAATGGAACTCTTCTTGGTTTCTCTTGGATTCCGTGCAGTATTTCTGCTGTTTTTAGTATATAAATCTGTGGCAAATTACGCTGCGCCTGTGTTGGCTTTGGTTGTGGTTGCTTCATTTGGTTTCAGTTTGTTCGAGCCTTCGAGGATTTGATTCTGTTTAGGTGCAGTTTTGGAGGAAGTTGGGTTAGCGTGTTCCATCAGCCAGTTTGAGAAGTTTTTGTTAATTCGATGTTCAGATTCTGCTGGGTTTATTTTGGGTTTTGCTGAACTTTATTCTATGTCAGAGAAACTTTGATCTTCAGCTTTCTCGAATTTGAGCAGAAATGGCGTGCTCAGGTCGATCGTTTGCATGTTGAAAAGGATTCCTTTCTTCAAGTTTCAGGGTCCTCTTTGCAGTTTGGGATGATTTTGCCAACTGCAGAATTTCACCCTGCTCAACTGATAAACTTTCCCCTTTCTTCAATGAAATATCCTTTCTTTCTTTCTTTCTTTTTTTTTTTTGCATTTTGTTGTTTAGTGCTAGTTCATGGATGATTTCCTCAAATGTTAAAAGAATTATATTTCTCTGGATACTGCATTTGGAGATGCCTAAGTTGCTCCAATAATTGAGATAGTAACATAGTTGTTTACTTGCATGGAAACAAAGTTTAAACTGTTCGTTTGTAATTGATTTGACCTGTTAAACATGTAAATATAGGACATATAGAAGATGATGATAGGGCAGGTGTCACTTTCATCCATGTTGATAAAATTAAAACTTAAGGCCTTCTCCTTAGTCCTTACCAACTAGTAGTTGCCTTATTTAATTAGCACAATAAATCTGAGACATTTCTGGTTGTCTTTTGGGTTGGGTGGACAACACCATTTGCAGGGGAAGAAAGCATGAGGCTATGGTTTCTCATACCTCTTCTTCTCTGTTTCCCTACATTGATTCGATCCGAGGATTACTCGGATGTGACCATCGTCGTTCGGGGTGCTGAGACGATCGCTTCGACCAGCAACGAGTTCATTTGCGCCACCATTGATTGGTGGCCTCCAGAGAAGTGCAATTATGACCAGTGTCCATGGGGGCAAGCTTCTATCTTAAATTTGGTAAATTGCTAATTTCCCAAGAATGTGTGTGTTTTATCATGTTGTAATTGATATTTTTGCAAAGAACTAATTTTGATCCTTTTGTGAATTTCCCAGGACTTGACTAATCCTTTGCTAGCTAAAGCTATCCAAGGTGAATATTATACCTATTTTCTGCGAACAATTTTCTACTGTAACTAAAAAAAATGGACAACAGTAGGGAATTTCCATACTAAATTGCAAATAGGATTAAAGTTACAAAGTCAAAGACTCAAAGAATTCTTGTCAAAGATTTATCTGTTCCTTTGCAACTACATATGCCAGCAACTGTGATCAATTTCATTCTACCGTGTGGAGGTTTACTTGTTACACTGACTAATATAAGATATTAGAGGGTAAATCCCGTTTTAAGAAACATATTGACATTTGTGGTTCATTCTGTACCTTTATTTATTAAGCTTGGAATTTGTTTAGAGCTACTTTCCACAAAATGTATTTGCCTTCTTATGGTTTTCTACACTTTCCCATGATTCATGGACTTTTTTTCCCATTTATTTGTTTTTGTAGCCTTTAGCCCTCTACGTATCAGACTTGGAGGTTCCTTACAAGATCAGGTGGTGTATGGCACGCCGAATTTAGGATCTCCATGCACCCCATTTTCAAAGAGTTCAAGTGGCCTGTTTGGATTTTCTCAAGGATGCATAACCATGGAAAGATGGGATGCTATTAATAAGATCTTTATGGATACAGGGTAAGGCCTTCCTTCTCCAGTAGTTTCTGATGTGCATTCTTTTTTCTGTAGTGAATTCTGATATATTATAAGATAAATTGTTGACCACATCACAAATCGGAACCTATCATATACCTTCATTAAGTGTGTTTCCTGACCCATTTTTTCATTTAATCCCTTCAGTGCAGTTGTTACATTCGGCCTTAACGCGCTTCAAGGGCGACAGCAGATGGGCAGAGGTGTTTGGGGAGGTGCTTGGAATTCCAGTAATGCTCGGGAGTTCATGGAGTACACTGTTTCGATGAACTACCCTATAGACTCATGGGAATTTGGTATGAATTATAAAAACTAAAACCTTCATTTGCTGCCTACAATGAGTCAGAAGCATCGGTCATTTGTGTAATCCTTACATCAGTAGTTGTGCTTATGTACTAGGTAATGAGTTGAGTGGAAGTGGAATTGGTGCAAGTGTTGGAGCTGAACAATATGGAAAAGATATAATTGAGCTCAAGAACATCATCAGCCAGTTATATGGAAACTCTAGGAAACCATTGGTGGTTGCCCCAGGAGGATTCTATGACCAAAAATGGTATGCTCAGCTTCTTGATATCTCTGGTCCAAATGTTCTCGACACAATGACTCATCATATTTACAATCTTGGTGCTGGTAAGTACTTCCTAGATATAATGTTAGAACCACTCCTTAATTCATCTTTGTTTTTAGGTTGTACTACACATTTAAGATGACTGACATAAACCAAATTTTATTAGGTAACGATCCGCAAGTTGCAAATAGGATCTTGAATCCGCAGTATTTGAGCCAGAGCTCTGATACATTCAGAGATCTCCAAATGACGATACAGCGGCATGGACCATGGTCTGCTCCCTGGGTTGGGGAAGCTGGTGGTGCATATAACAGTGGCAGCCGAAAAGTGTCTAATACTTTCCTGAATAGCTTCTGGTAATTACTTGCCAGTTCAACAGATAATTATTCCAACCATGGGGATTTTTCTTGTTTTGTTCGTAAACTTGCTGTTTCAACTAGGTATCTTGATCAGCTTGGTCAGTCAGCAAAGTATGACACAAAGGTTTACTGCAGACAGACTTTGATTGGAGGCAACTATGGCCTTCTTGATACCGAAACTTTTGTTCCAAACCCTGATTACTACAGGCAAGTATTCCTATACTTTGCTCTGCCACAATCATGCTTTACTACCCTATATACCTTTTGTACTAAACCGCGGTATATGTTCAGTGCCTTGCTGTGGCATCGGCTCATGGGGAAGGGAGTTATTTCCTTAGACACCAGCGGTTCTTCGTACTTGCGTGCCTATGCGCATTGCGGAAAGCAAAAGGTATGAACCATGATGAGTCCAAAGAAAGAATTCGGTTACCTACCCATTTACTTCCAGATACCTGAAACAACCTAAGATGAAACTGTAATGCTGCCATGTTATCTTTTTGGTAACACAAGCATAGTACTACAGTGTTCTAGCATCATATATTCATGTGGTTGATTAAACTGAAAGTGAAGATAGGCTGACCTATATGCTCTCGAAATGGTTTTTCCGTGCTACAGGGCGGCGTCGCGCTCCTCATGCTCAACCTGAACAAGAACATGGGATTCATGGTCTCAGTCAGAAATGACCTCAACATTAATTTCAGAGAAATGGCAGGGATAAAGAGGGACAACTCCTTTGTCCATGGCCTGAAGAGGACAGTCTCCTGGGTTGGGAGCAAAGCCTCGGATGGGCTGGAGAAGAGGGAGGAGTACCATCTGACTCCACAGGATGGCAACCCTTTTGCCAGGACAGTGCTGCTCAATGGAGCTCCTCTTCAGCTCACTGGAGATGGTGACATCCCTTCACTGCCACCAGTGATGGTCTCAGTCAATTCCCCAATCTATGTCGCCCCGCTGTCGATCGCGTTCGTCGTCTTCCCAGATTTCGAGGCTGAAGGTTGCGAACGATGATTTCGAGTTTAGATAGAAATATCATGAGGTTTTTCTTTTCTGATGTGATGATATAGGTGTTCTCAGGGTTACATCCACTGTAAAGATTTTTCTGTGTTTCTAGTTTTTTCCCCAATTGGGCTATATATAGAATAACTTGATTCCAGTGTTTACTGATCAGTATGTAGCAAGCCTGCAGTTCCATTCCCTTCTATGTTTGGTTGGGTCACAATGAAGCACATTTGATGTAGTGATATCATGCTCATGTTCCGCATACTATATAAAAAATGTACATGTGAAAGAAAAATGTCGTCCTTGATGTTTTATGCTGGTATGAGTGAATTATGAAAAATAAAGAATTACATGCAGATTAAAAGAAGAAAAAGAACACCCTCTTAAGAAATAATTAGAACTCAAACTAGTCCAACCAGTATTGTTTTAGGAGTACCTGCTAACCATAACCAATATCCACTGAAGTTCGTCTAAAGAAATTCATTTAAGTTCTTATTTCTTGTAAACAATGTACAATAAAATGATCAATACACACTGATGTATGTACTAAACTTGAAAAGGTTATAGATAGTCAAAGACCAAATATGACAGGAGTTACAAATTTACAGTAAGTATAATAATCCAATTCTGATGACACCAGTGACACCAGAGTATCATACCAGATGACCACAAAAAGATAAAGAAAACAGGAAGCAAATGTACAGGGCTTGCTTTGCAAAATCAAAATCTGGCCCATGTTGTTCATGTGGTGAACTGGATACCCAACAATTACAATAACGATGGGCCTACCATCAATCCCGCCAAATCAGGCAATTTATATTGCTCCAATAAATACAAAAGAACCATCCTAAACAATACTGTAATTTCATGAGCTATGATACAAATGGAATAAATAAAGGGAAAGAGATCCTAGTGTATAGGAAGAAAATATTTCCTTTGTGTTCATTAAATATTCTCCATCCGCTCGTGTACCAGCTCCGGGTTACTGTTCAGAGAGCATTTCGTGGGTATCCTTCTGGACTATCTGGTATTGGTCTCCAAAATAATGAATTTAATTCCATAATTTACGCCAATATTTATAGAATGGTTTATCTAGCCAATCTATAACTGGGGCTCCATTATATGACAGTTTCTTATGAACTCATTCGAGTAGTTCACATGTCTTGTCCAAAATGGCTGGAGATGCTTAAAACCAATATCCAGCCATGGTTTACTTTGCCCATTGTAATGTATGACTGCTGCTTTCTGAACACTGGGGATATCTGTCTTTTCCTGATACCCCAAGCCTAAAAGATGCCATGATGGATCAATAGGATGAACATGACCTCTAAATGCTATAAGGCCAGGTGGTAATGTTCCAAGCCTCCAAAGTGTGAAGTTTGAGCTCAGATTCTGCAGGGAAAGAAGGTAGCATGAGTAAGGTAGGTAGCTCAAACTCATCAGAGCTTATTTAGAACGTTAAAATTTGGACCAAGCATTGGTCAAATATATGATCATTAAAAATAGTGTCCAGCATATTTCCATATGCCTTTTGAAGTGATCAAGAGAAATTCCCTAGTTTTTAACATATCAGCAGCTCTGCATTAATTTTATATAGTTGCTTTTAGAACGTTGCCACAAACAAAAAGAGCGTTATGTTTAAACAAGGAGCCTGTTAGACTTCCAAATTCCAATATCAGAAAATATTCACTTAGTTACTATAAAATGGAAAAAAATGTGTAGAACACAACTGGGGGTGTGCAGATGAAAAGGTAGTGGCATCGATGTTTTACCTCCCTGACCCAATGGTGGTATTTATCTTTAATGGATGTCTTTCTCCATGCACTCAGGTCAAATATATTCATGCCATATGCCCATGCACACTCCGAAGGGTCGAAGTTATTGGCAATGAGGGGATGGGAGAAATTGAAATAATTTCTGAACCTCTTGGACATCACCCAAGTATCTCCACCTCTGCAGGTCTCAACAGCTCCATTTACCTTCCCACCTAGATCAATATCCCAAAGTGATGACAAGTCCCGCTGGACAACAACGTCATCATCAAGAAATACAACTTTGTTGAGGTTTGGGAACAACTGCATTTCACAAAGTGCAAGTTAGAATAAATTTGCACAACTACAAATCTTTCAGGAAAAAAATGAGGTAGATTGAAAAAATAAATGATGCAGTTAGAATATATTTGCACAACTACAGATGGGAAAGTCCAACTAACTACAGAACATTATAAATTGTTGCACAATACAGATTTCTGCAAGAAAAAAAATTATGCAGAGTATATACATATATATTATTTACATTTAAAACAAGGAAAGAAACTTCAAATCTGTTGTATTTCGATTGCTTAAACTCAGGTTTCTATTACATATGACAACACATGCTTAATTGTTTATCAATTATGCCAAAGCTGATGAAACTGTACTGAAAATAAGTTAGAAAAAATTATTGTACCTCAGGCAAGTATATTCGAATATGATTGAGCACTGAAGTATATGTTGGACTCCCTGCCTGCAGCTTGGCAGCAAAAACCCTTGGGCTATCACCTGCACTATTTCTTGCAAGGTGATTTCCATGGAAACGACTTCTGACAGTGTGCTGAGTTTCTATAGCTTCAAGAACTGGCACGTTTTCTCTTGTTAACCAATCAAATTGGTGAACACCTTTCACCTCAACAATGGCAGGAGAAAGAGTATTCAAAGCAAACCATGAGTGCATAGCAGGATAGGTCTTCTTGTCAGTGATGACATGGAAAACTATCCTGCCAGGTTTTAATGATGACCTAATAGTTGAACTGACCACAACTGAGGCTGCAAGGATGTTATCTGATGCTAAAACAAAATGGAGATAGGAATTGTCAGAAAGACGAGGGATCAACTCAGGTGGAGGGAGTTGTTTCCTTGCAAGAGCATTGGATGAGTATTCATCAGTTAGACGCAAGGAAAGGCAATGAAGGCCTTTGGGAATAGCAATTGCTGCGTAGTGTTTGTTTAACTGCTCTGATAACCTTGATGTTCTCAATTCCCTGTCCATGCTCTCCATCTGCGTAATGTTATGCAGGCAATGAAAATATTAGTGCTTGCTGAACAATAGAAGCATATTAGCATGATGTTAGGGACCTTCAAGTCCATTAGTGTTCTGCTTGGCAACTTTAGAAGGATGAGAATCATTAAATACTACCTGTTGTATACATGTGGTGTAAACAAGATATTTATTTATTTTCATCACTACTATAGTGAGCCTTGATATTTAGAGTTTAGCTATGTAGAAGCTACCAGTTTAGCATGTAACGCTTGTAAATAATGGCAAGAAAATAACAGTTTTATGTACAAGATAGCTTGTCCATCACCATCCAACACAATAACATAACTGCTATAAAATAATATTACCCAAGAAGTGACACAAGCTTTACAGTGGATTCCAAAGTAAAAACACACTCAAAGGAATCATGACGTTCATTCTCAAGCACAAGTCACCACCAACATAACCTACTGAGAAACTTTGCAATTCACATGCTTGGACAGAAATAGAAAATATGGACAGTACTTCAAAACAGGGAAAGAAACTTACTGTTGCCTTCAGCCTAAAAGCAAATGACCTTAAATCATAATCATTATTCTTCATGTCCCAGATGAATTCATCAAAAGAGTCTGGGACCTTCAAATCAACAGGTACTTCTTCAGAATTTATTTCGTCAAGCATCCTATACAAATCCCTCATGACCCTCTGCGCATTAGAATATAGAAATTAAATAAGGAACTAAGCAAATCCACAAAATTGAAAGGAGAAGGGTAATATCAGAGGAGATGTGAGTACCATGGAGCCATCGTTGCCCCTACCAAGAAGCCGTGGACCTAACCGTCTGCCTAGACAATCTGATAGTAACAACTCATGAATTAGTAGCAAGTCATTGACCACACAAATTTCAACTATGAACAAATTTGAACATGTATAAATTATGATGGATCAGGCAGCACAACAAAGAGAAAGATAAGTACATAAAGTATCATCGACAAAAGATAGGATAACAACATAGGCACCAACTAAAGTAGAGTTAAGGCGAAAGTCCAGATAACCCCCCTGAGCTTTAGAACAATGTCTGCTTAACCCCTAAGATTCCATTTGAGAAAAATAAAACTAAAGCTTCTACTAAATGCTGTTACACATTTAGAACTGATAAGATCAGCAGTCTCTTTTCTCCAGACAGGGGAATTACCACTATTTACATTTTTATGATCAAAGACAAACATAGTCTGCTGCAACCTTGAATCCAACATATGAACATAGGGCAAGATTTCAGGTCCATGTACAGAAAAACAACCAAGGGGGGTGCATGTAACAGATTATTTAGCAGGATCATGATGTAATAGCAAATTAAGTGGATTAGATGATAGGGAAATGGGCCTTGTTTATAAATGTGTACATTATGATTAGTAACGTAACTTATGGATTGGAATTTGTCTGAGGATAGTTTAGGCTAAAGTAATGACTTATTCGAACAAAATAAAAGCATTCGAGGGGCACACTTTGGTATTCTGGCTGGTTCAGTATGAGCCTTCATAGTAGCTCCAACTCACCAAGTATGAAGTATCGGAAGTAACAATGGAGAAAAGTTGTTTCATTTTCTAACATACGGAGTAGAAAACAAGTGATGTTACATATATTTCACATTCATAGTTTACTTACGGAAGTGTTGGTCTACCGTGTCAATGTGATGTGCCTAATTTCTCAATGAACCATCAAGATATCATTATCATGAACACCTTAACATCTAAGAGTGATAGAAGCAGCCATTAAGTTGCCACATAAGTGGTAAGCAAAGCAACCCCATTTGTACTAACCCTTTCTATAGGAGGCCAAAACGAGCAGTTTTGGAACATCAGGTGAACCAAGAAAGCAATTAAAGCAGCCAACTAAGCAAATAGTATGCAACAAAAAAAAAACAATGCCACTATCATTATCATGCCCAAATAAGCCCCTATAATCTAGTGACGGCAAGTGATCATAGCACCAAAGCAGGCGTGTAGTACATTTCATGAGTTTCGGTTAAAACACAAGAAAATTATGAGCATCCCAGCGGTTGTTATCTACCGAAACGTGTAATTCACGCCGCCGCGGCATGCACATTGCACATCCCTGGTCTGGTATACCACCAGTAAGCTACATAAACTACTCCTGAAGAACTAGCTGTGCAGGGGCACAGTAACACCATTTCAAGACCATTTGAAGAGCATTTCATGAAGAGGGCGGCAAGGTACCTAGGGAGGAGCACTTGTTGAAGCCCTCGAGGGTGACGAGGGCGGTGAGGATGAAGACGAAGGGGAGGAGGAAGGCGAGGATGAGGACGGTGTGGAAGACGGTGCGGTAGGAGAAGTGGCGGGCGGCGGCCTTGAGCTTCATGAGGTCTAGCAGCCCGCTCCCCACGCCGCCGCCGCCGCCTCCGCCGCCGCCATTGCCGCCGCCGATGCCGATGCCGCTACTGGAGATGGTGATGCTCCTCATGCTCGGCGACAGCCGGATCTGCATCGTCGCCGCCGCCCCCCTCCCTCTCCCCACTCCTCCTCCTCAAACCGTCTAGACCCGACGAGCATTCACACGCGCCGACGACGCGGCTCACAGACGCCGCAGCCATGGCAGCCCGGCCGGATCCGGCATTGCCGCCGGCCAAACCAGCAATCAAGAAGGGGGGGGGGGTCGATCCTGCTGCTGCTGATTGATTGCTTCCACTACGGCACTACCCCGTGGTTTCTTGGACTCCGGATCAAGAGAATCCGGGGTGGTTTCTCCTCCTCCGCCTCGTCCTGAGCTCGATTGGATTCGGTTCCTCGCGGTAGCTAGCTAGCTGCGTGCGCGCGCGAGGGAGAAGAAGGGGGGAGGGGGTAGGTGGATCGTGCGGGGGTGGAAGGGGAGGGAGGGTTTGATCTGGGTTTCGAGGTGGTGGGGGATTAGGCGGCGACGAGACGGAGACGGAGACGGAGACGAAGAAGAAGAGGAGGGATTTGACCCGACGCGATGAACACGAAGAGGAGGAGAAGGGTCGGGTCGGGTCGGGGTCGGGTCGGAGTCCAGCGTGGCATGGTTGGGTCAAACCAAACCAAACCGCTGGCTGGCCGGTTGCTTCCTCCAGGAAGCAGAAGACACAACACAAGCATCCCAGCCCACTGCCCACGTGTGGTATTATTGCTACTCCTACCCTAGCCTTGCTAGATTTTTTTTTACTCTTTTTTTAAAATATTAGTATAAGTCATTTTGATTTTTTTTCTCTCCTTGTTAAACTTGTTTGAGTTTGAAAGTCTAGAGAAAAAATTTAGCAGCATCTAGAATATAAAATTAGTCTAACTAAAACTAACATATAATATAATTTGATAATATGTTTGTTTTCTGTTAAATATATTGCTATATTTTTGTATAAACGTGGTCAAACTTTAGAATGTTTGATTAGGGAAAAATATCAAAACGACTAAGACGGAGGGAATATTTTGTTCTGGTTAACATGCACCGTTGTATTAATTACTACTGATTGCTAATTTTGATGAATGTGATAGCACAGGGGTTCGCCTTTTCCAATTTAGTGTTGGCTCCCCCGATCCTTGGTAGTAGTATGACAGTTCTCGACAAATTTTTGATTTAATTTTCTATTTAAATTTTGAATTCCTGTACCGTTTGAAATTTTACTCTCCATCTACTTTCGTCGTGCGTCGAAACCTCCAAATTTCGCGATTTTTTATCGGTTCTCGTGGAAAGTAAACCCAATGGTAAAAAATAGCTCCATGAACGTCATGATCGGAAATAAACGTGATACTCTTTCTAGTCATAAATATTTGGCTGGAAGTTTTAAAATTTGTCGGAGTCTCTTGCTCAAAACGTTACATAAAGCCCCATTGTTTAGCGTATTCATATACTTATCCAAAACACTTATTACCAAAAAAAATTGTGAGTAAAACTTTTATAAATGTATCATTAGCGACTCAAGAGCAAATGTTGTAAAATAAAGTAGAATGAAAAAAACCAAGAAATCAAATTCAAAATTAAGTTCTAAAATTTAATTTTGGGTTATAAGCATAAGCATAAGCCAAACAATTAGCCCTTTTTTCACCAGAGGGCGCACTTTTTATATATGAGTCGTCGAATGAAGGATTCTTTTTTTGGAGCATTATGTGTTGTGTTCTAGTGCAAACTCATATACCGACTCATGATATTTTGTTTATTTTTTTAAGGGAAATATTTTGAGAAATTCAGGACGATGGATGGCATAGAGCCACACTCATGTTCCTAGAGGACCCATCCAACACCAATCATGGAATTGTAGGATTAGGTGTTTTGAATGATGCACTCACAAAATCTGACTCGTTTTCAATTGGGATCCCCTAGAATTGAGTCATTGGCCCATGGTGATGATCTATTCTCTGGATTGACCAGTAACTTATTGACCTCAGAATTTTTCTTTTAAAGAAAAATGTCAGATGTATGTAATATTTGACATATATTCCTTTAGGGGGGAAAAATTATCACATGGCACATGTGAAGTTCTAACTTAATGCAAAGTAATTAGTTTGGAACCTCCTTCTGGCCTAACTTCAGAGAACATCATTACTTGGAGCAATCCAGCACATGCTGAGAGCATCAGCTCTTCCTTTTCTGCTTACACTCTGGCAAGTCAGCATCAATTTATTTCTGTATCTGGGTAGAAAGCAACCATATGCACTCCCTGCAAAACTGCATTTGCATTTGACAGGCAAACAGAAATATTTGATTCTAAGAGTGGTGGAAGAGGATGGAAAAGGCATTCCATTTTGATCTAATTTTCATCTTTCATTTAATTCTGTCAAATACAGTATTAGGATGATTACTGCATACAGGGTTGTTCCTTAAAAAAAAGACAAAAATATTTCTGACTTCAGTTCTGTTCTTCTCTTTCTAGAAGGTAGGATTACAACTTGAAATGAGCTTATCTCAACTAATTGAGTGCCTTGGTAACTAATGAAGTTTGACAAGAAAGCACCTAAGAGGAAAAGGGACCTACTGCAGAGACATTATCATGATAAGCATACAAAGTGCCCCCAAATTAAGCTCTCAGCACAAGTGCCTTTCAGAACCGACGTAGCAGAAAAATATGGCCAGCTTTTTTTTTTTGAAAGAAGAAAATACGACCAGCTTTTAATGAGGCCAAAATCACATCATAATTACTGGATATTACTAATTGGTAAGTATATACATTACCAACTGCACAAATTGGACCTAAACTCCCAATTTGAAAGCATAGTACTAACTGTAGGTATAAGCAAAGCTACAAATGGATTCATTTCCATTTTCCGCAAGAAACACCAAAGTGCAAAAGAACCAGAAATCTGCACCAATTTTAACTGGCACCGAATATATTTACCCAACAATCATTTCAAGATATATCAGCATATACAGAACATGAAAAGAAAATGCTAAGGAAAAGTGATTTTCAAAAACTGAACAAGACTGCTCCAGCATGCATCCGAGCAATACATTCAAATTCAGAACCATGGCCTTTCAACATCCAAACAAAGAAAAAAAAAGGAACATCACATTCATAGATCAATACATGACATGGAAACCATGGAGTCATCAAAGCTGTCTTAATCCAAGCAACAACCAAATTACACAAACATTAACTAGCATCATTTTGCGCAGGAACCGTGTCATTACTATATCACCATTTACAGAAACGGAGAAGTGTAAAGCCAAAGTAAAATGCATTAGAACTCCACATCATTAGTAGTAAAATGTTCATCACTTGCATCTATGTGAACAACACAGCTTCACTATGGAAGCAAGTGTGGAAAGAATACAGGAACTATATGGACTTTGCCATTCATAAAAGGTATGTACATTTGTTGCTTACGAAACAAAAAGATAGTATGAGTATTATAGCCTGTAACTATATACCAGTAGACAAAAATCATGTCTTTCACCTCAGACCGATGAATATGAAGACCAATGAATCAAAAAACCATCATCAGTTAGACAAAACACAAAACGTAGGCGCACACTGAACCACCCTTCATTGCTGCAGTTCAGAATTCACCCTCAGGTTTCACTTCAAGAGTTTGATCAGAAACACTAGGCCTGCACCTCCTTTTTCACCGCAACAAGGACTCCACTACTACTCTTGTGCAGGACAGTGGCCTAACCTGTCTGCTACATTTGAGTTTGTATCCTTATCTGAGCTTGTATCAGTGGGAATCAGGGAGTTGAGATCATCGGTAGAGCTAACACTGAGGATTGGTACCTCATGACCTGAACTGTCATTGCGAGGCAGCAGATTGAGACCAAGCTTCTCGTTTTGCATCCGCGTCACTGAAGATTCTCTCTGCTCAGGAATATTGATATCAATACCAACATTGACAGTCTCCGTCTCCTTATCTGAGTTTGTATCAGTGGAAACCAGGCCATCGGGATCATCCATAGAGCTGACACTAAGGGTTGGTACCTCGTGATCTGAACTGTTCTTGTGAGGCAGTAGATCAAGACTAAGCTCATTTTTTTGCATCTGCATCACAGAAGGATGTCCTTGGTCATGAATATTGGTATCAGCCTTCATGTTTTGCTGTTTCATCTCAACAAGGTCCCTGAGATCGGCAACGCTAAGATCAGGCTTCCTTTTTTGCTTTTGAATCACATCAGACTCATCAACACAATCGGTGACCCCTCGACAACCAACATTTGGGCTGAGATCATCCTCCTCCACCCCCGCAATGGCGCACGCACCGACCCTCCTCTCATCACCTCCATAACATTCCACAGGAGATGAACCCTTGTCAGAGCACATCTTCAGCACCTGATCTGGATTATTACTAGCAGCTGGTTCATCGTCTACATTACCAGCACCCGGTTCATCATCAGAAAATGTCTCTTCTCCAGGATAGGCAGGTTGCTCCCTGAGAAGCAAGAGAGCCTCTAAAACATCAGTCTCTTCTTCGGGATCCCAATCCACTTTCACTTCACTTGTTGCACCATTGATGCCACCCTGAGCATAATCAGAAGCTGGGAATGCGGGAACTGTTCGCTTTTGCCTTGGTATATGAAATCCCAAAATATCCTTGCGAGCCTGAGCATCTCCTGAAGATTCTGTTTGCGGATGCACATCCGAAATGTACTTGCAAGTCAACTCATGATTTAGCAGATCACCTCTTCTCTTGAAGTTCTTGCCACAAAACTGGCATGGTGAGTCCCACTCAGAAGCCATTTTTTCTGGATCACAGCAAGGTCGCATTGCAGTAAGCAAACACACATCATGGAGAAGGATAATTAAACAAGCAAGCCACTCTTTCATCAAGCAATAACTTGCAAATGCGAACATTACCATGTGCTCAATTAAGAAAGACAAGAACTAGCATGTTTGCTCCAGAAACAAGAATAAAGAAATGGATCAGCAAGAACTCACAGAACCAAGACAAATTCTTGGCTGATGGCAAAAATATTCTTGCCATCGACAGAATAACTGAAGAATTGAAACGCCACCACAGAATCATTTGTTAAAGGGTAGTATATCTAGGGGCATTTAGATATTTCCCGTCTCTCTCTTTGAGCGTAATCAAAGAGTTGATTCCCCAAATTCTCCAAATTGCGACATCATTAACTAACTAAGAGCAACAGACTTTTAATCAGGAGTTCCTCTCGCTAATTGTTGCTTTATCTCAAGCATTCAGCCAAACACGGAGACACCATTTGATCACAGAATCAAGAAAAGGCAAGACATAGTCACATAGCCACTGCAATGTGGATTGAATTTACACGGAACAGACTAGAGCTTTGGGCACGGAATCTGTACCTCTGAATGCGTGAGGGTTTCAGAACGCGGGAAGGCGATCAAATTCGTCAGGGAAGGCGAAATTCTTGCAGGTCGAACCGCTGAAACAATGAATGCAACCAATTCATTAGCATGAAATCATCGAATCAGGCAAACAAACCAAGAACCCAGAGACGAATCTCGCATCAGATTCTCGGCGGGAAGACCAAACCAAGAACTGTGGAACCGAACCACACCATGAACAGCACAACCAAGAACTCAAGAAACCTGAAGTCCTGAACCCACGTCAGATCGGTACACGTCCAGGTCGTCGTGGGGAGCGATTCCTTCACGAGCAGCGAGGAATCGAGCTTCTTGTTAATCCCCCGTTCCCCACTCGCTTCTTGCTCTTCTTGGAGGTCGGTCTCTCTCGGTGGACGCCGCGTGTAAACTGAACCGAGCGCGGGGGGGGTGCTCGTGCTCTTATAGGCCGCGCCATTCTACGAATCTGGACTCTTCAGCGTACTAGGTTCATCGCGCGGCGTTGCGCGCGGCGCCGGCGAGCAGTGGAAGCGGGGGGGTTTTGGGTTGCGGTGGTGGGAGAGGAAGAGTAGAAGGAGAGAGGGTTTCTTGCTGGGCTACAGGATGACGACACGTGTCATGATCGGACGGCTATGGTGTTGCCGCGAGGAGAACCTGTCACTGCAGCCACATTATAATAAGAGGTCCACATAATGCAAGTAATCATAGTTTGGTACTCCTTACGTTTGACGTTTCAGACTACAAGTCGAAACTACTTTAAATTTAATTAAGTTTGTAGAGAAATGCAGCAACATTTTTAACACAAGACAAATATATTATAAAAATATATTCAATTATAAATTTAATGAAAATAATTTTGTGTTATAAATATTACTATATTTGTCTACAAACTTGATTAAACTTGAAATAGTTTAACTTTGACCAAACTCAAAATAACTTATAATCTGAAACTTAGGGAGTAATTCTTTATTATGGGCATAACTTGACAAAAGCAGAAATACTTGAGGAATCTATGCACATATCAGGCTGAGCATAAGAGCATCAGTTTTTTTTTTCTGCTGAACTCTGAAAAAATGAGCATCGATTTCTTTCTGCAAATGCCACTCCTTGCAAAAACTGTATTTGCAGTGTAAATTTGATTCTGACAGTGGTGGATGCAAAAAGGCAGTGTTGTTAATTAAAAGACACAATTACTGGACTGACTTCAGGTTGTATCAAAGCTTCATTTATGTTCTTGTCTTTCTTGAAGGTAGAATTTTCAACTTTAAATAAGCTTATAGTATGTATCAACAGGTTGAGAAGTGAACCTTGGCAAAACTAATGAAATCTGACAAGGCAGCAGTGACTCCATGAGGAGAAGAGAGCAACTGCAGATTGGCACCAAATTAAGTTCACAGAAACTGATCTCAGAAAAATGAATGACATTTTCTTAAAGAACAAATGTGACTAACTTTTAATGAGGCCAAAATCACATCATACTTACCACTAACTGGTCAGAATATACAGTACCAACTGCACAAAATGGGAATAACCTCAAGTTGTGCACATGCTACTAACCGGTAAGTATAACTGTATAAGCAAGCACAACTGGCCACCAGGCTCAGTTTCACATCAAGCCATATTTCGCAAGAAACACCCAAGAGCAAAAGGGCCAGTGCACTACTGTCTGCACCAATTTAACTAGCATTTATTTACCCAGAAATCATTTCAAGATATATCAGCTATATATAATGGAACAGTACATTGCAGGAACTGAGCAAAACTGCTCTAGCACACACATCCAAGCCATGGCCTTTCAATATTAAAAAAAAAAACAGCAATAACACACTCATAGATCAGTATGGCATCACATCAAGGCTGCCATAATCTAGGCAACAACCAAATTACACAAACATTAACCAGAATCTTTTTACACAGCAATCATGTCGTTACTCATTAGTATATCCATATTTACTGAAACAGAGAAGTGTATGCATTAGAACATATTGTTAGTAGTAAAATGTTCATCCATTGCATGTAACTGAATAACACTGCTTCACTATCGAAGCAAGAGTGCAAAGAATACAGAAGTATGGACTTTGCCATTCAGAAGAGGTTTGTACACTTGTTGCTTCTGAAACAGAAAGTCGTATGAGTATCATAGCCTGTAACTATCTACCAGTAGACGAAAATCAAGTCTTTCATTTCAGACTAATGAATCTGAACTGTCATTGCGAGGCGGAAGATTGAAATCAAGCTTGTTTTTCGTCTGCATCGCAGAAGGATCACTGTGGTCAGGAATATTGGTATCAACACCACCATTGCCGGTGTTCGTCTCCTTATCTGAATTGGTATCAGTGGGAGCCAGAGTTTTGAGATCATCCATAGAGCTGGAACTGTCGTCGTGAGGTGGCAGATTGAGATCAAGCTTGATTTGCATCTGCATCCTAGAAGGATCTTTGTGGTCAGGAATATTGGTATCAGCAACACCAGTGATGGTATTTTTCTTCTTGTCTGAATTTGTATCAATTGTACTGAGATCATTGATAGAGCTGAAATTGTCGGCCTGTTCCTCCTGATCTGAACTGTCACTGTGAGGTTGCAGATTGAGATCAAGCTTCTTCTTTTGTTTCTGCATCACAGAAGGATCTTTGTTGTCAGGAATAGTGATATCAGGAGCATTGACAGCAGAATCCACTTTCACTTCACTTGTTGTTGGCTTCGGTGGAGTCTCTGGTGCATCACTGGTGCCACCCTGAGCATAATCAGAAGCTGGCTTCTTCAGATGTTGTTCTGGCAGCGGCTGATTTCTGGCTGTTCGCTTTCGCCTTGGTACATGAACATCCAAGCTGCCTATGCCACCCTGAGCATTGCCTGAAGGTTCTGTTTGCGAATGCACGTCGGGATTGTTCTTGCACTGCAGCTCATGCTCTGCACAAGAACTTCTACCCTCGAAGTCCTTGTGACAAAAACTGCACTGACAGTTCTCTTGAGGACCATCAGAAGCCATTTCTGGATCACAGCAAGTCGCAGTAAGTAAACACACATCATAGAGAATCAGAACTTAGCAAGCAAGCCACTATTTCAAGTAAATAGTTGCAAAAAGCAAACACTAATACCATGTGATCAATTAAGAAAGACAAGAATTAATCAGATTCTTAATGGTAACTACTAACAGCTTACTCCTAGAAGAAAAGAACAAAAAGATGGATAAGTAAGAACTTGCGGAATTATCATAAGAATCATTAAGGCAGACACAGGGTTCGGCCAAATTCTTGGCAAATGGCAAAAATTCTTGCCATCAACAGAACAATTGAAGAACTGAAACACCACTGCAGAATCATGAACTAACCCATAACTGGAGAGTTTTGTCTTAGGATGATTATTACTCTTGCTAACTTCTGGTTTATTTCAAGCATTTAGGGAAATAAAGGGACATCATTTGATCACAGAACTAAGAATAGCCACTGCAATGTGAATTGAATTTACACGGTAAAGACTAGAGCTTCAGATCATAGGATGGGCACAGAATCTGCACCTGAATGCGTCGCTCTTCTAGCAGATGTTGGTATCGAACTTGCGGACAAATTCTGTCGCGTAAGCGCATCCGGATTGTACATGCAACGCTGCTGATGCTTCCTTAAACTTCTTGGCCTTAAGTAGGTGTCACAAAAATGACATTGCACGTAACCTTGAGGAACATCAGAAGCCATTTCTGGATCACAGCAAGGTCATATCGCAGTAAGTAAACACGCGGCATGGAGAAGGAACAAAGCAAGCCACTCTTTCAACTTTCAAGCAATAACTTAGAAAACGTAAAAATTACCACGCGATCAATTAAGGAAGACAAGAACTAATCAGATTTCTCAAGGTAACAATCAACAGGTTTGCTCCGGAAACAAGAAAAAGTAGTAGTAGTAGAAGAAATTGAGATCACTGTACTGAGATCATTGATAGAACTGAAACGCCATCAGAAGCCATTTCTGGATCACAGCAAGTCGCAGTAAGTAAACACACATCATAGAGAATCAGAACTTAGCAAGCAAGCCACTATTTCAAGTAAATAGTTGCAAAATGCAAACACTAATACCATGTGATCAATTAAGAAAGACAAGAATTAGTCAGATTCTTAATGGTAACTACTAACAACTTGCTCCTAGAAAAAAAGATCAAAAGGATGGATAAGTAAGAACTTGTGGAATTATCGTAAGAATCATTAAGGCAGACACAGGGTGCGGCCAAATTCTTAGCAAATGGCAAAAATTCTTGCCATCAACAGAACAATTGAAGAACTGAAACACCACTGCAGAACCATTAACTAACAAATAACTGGAGAGTTTTGTCTTGGGATGATTCCTCTTGCTAACTTCTGGTTTATTTCAAGCATTTAGGGAAATAAAGGGACACCATTTGATCACAAAACTAAGAATAGCCACTGCAATGTGAATTGAATTTACACAGTAAAGACTAGAGCTTCAGATCATAGGATGGGCACAGAATCTGCACCTGAATGCGTCGCTCTTGTAGCAGATGTTGGTATCGAACTTGCGGACAAATTCTGTCGCGTAAGCGCATCCGGATTGTACTTGCAACGCTGCTGATGCTTCCTAAAACTTCTTGGCCTTAAGTAGGTGCCACAAAAATGGCATTGCACGTCATCTTGAGGAACATCAGAAGCCATTTCTGGATCACAGCAAGGTCATATCGCAGTAAGTAAACATGCAGCATGGAGAAGGAACAAAGCAAGCCACTCTTTCAACTTTTAAGCAATAACTTACAAAACGTAAACATTACCACGCGATCAATTAAGGAAGACAAGAACTAATCAGATTTCTCAAGGTAACAATCAACAGGTTGCTCCAGAAACAAGAAAAAGAAGAAGAAGAAGAAATGAATCAGCAAGAAGCCTCAGAATTCTTGGCTGGTGACAAAACAACTCAAGAACTGAAGAAACGCCATCATAGAATCGTTTACTAACCAAGAGCTAGAGATTTTTAATCATGAGGAATTCCTCTCGCTATTTGTTTTGCTTCATTTCGAGCATTTAACCAAACAAGGACACACCAGAATTTACACGGTGCAATGCGCAACGAATTTACACGGTAAAGACCAGAGAGCTTCAGATTGTAGGATGGGCACGGAATCTGCACCTGAAGGCTTCTAGCGAATGTGGGTAGCGAACTCGCGATCAAATTCGTGAGGGAAAGGCGAAAATCATGCAGGTTGAACCGCTGAAACAAACAACACAGGAAATGCACTCATCGAATCAGGCAAACGAAACCAAGAGCCCATATTCTTGGTGGAAGACCAAATCAAGAACTGGAAAAACCCGACCATGGACAACAAACCAAGAACCCCAAGAACCTGAAACCCACCTCAGATTGTTCCAGGCCCGGGGTCCTAGCCTCCTAGGCCGCTAAGCAACGGTTCTTGGGGGGGCCAATTGACCAATGCCTTCACGGGCGGCGAGGAATCGAGCTTCCTAAACCCATCCCACCAATTCCGATTCTTGGAGCTCGATCTCTCGGTGGACGGCGCTTGTAAACTGACCGCCGCGCGTGCGAGCCGCGCGGGTGCTCTTATAGGGCGCCGCATCGTATGAACCTGGACTGTACCGCGTCCTAGGTTCATCCTGCGCGGCCGCGCCAGCGCCGCGGCGAGCTGTGGAGGTTTTGGTTGCGGAAGCGGAGAGAGGAGGGGAGAGAGAGACGCATCGGGGAAGAAGAGGGGGTTCGTGGTGAGGCGCAGGATGAGGACACGTGTCATGATCGGACGGCTGTGATGTTGTCAAGAAGAACTTGTCACATTACTATCATGAGAAAAAAAAACATCATATACTGGTTTTGCTTGAAAAATTGAGACTGTAGTTTAATATTGACTGATTAGTAGAATATATATCAAAATTTAGAATTTAGTGTACAAATTAAAATCACCTCATTCTGACCACCATTTCTTTCAGCAGACAAGCATTTACAGAAACACAGAAGTGTAGAGCAAAGTAAAATTGATCTACAGATCGTCAGTACAAAAGAAAATTTGAAAAGCTCCTATCACTCAAGTGAAGAGAACTACTCCTATCTCACTTCTCTTTTTCTTGAAAAAAAATGTCACTGTACTTTAATATTGACTGATCAGTGCATACAATGAGGATATCACCATTTAGTACAAAAATTCACCTCATTCTGACCAGCATTCCTTTCAAGAATCAAGGTACAGACATTTACAGAAAGCAAAGCAAAACTGATTTTACAGATTGTTGGTACAAAAAAAAAATGACAAGCTCGTCCATTGCATTGCATGCAACATGGAAATCAGCTTCACTGTTCAGTAACCAAGCTATCACTCAAGATCCTGGCCTTTGCTATCCATGGAAGTTTGTCAGTCAAGAGAACTACTCCTATCAGTATTGTGAGCTTGTGACTATCTATCGGAAGACAACATGGGTTTTTTTTGCTTCCTGGCTGATGAACTACCTACAGTCTACAGACAGCTCAAGGAACTGTACCAGTTTCAGACAACACCCCAGATTTCACCAAAAGAACAGAGAGTTTCAGACCACATCGAGCACCGGATTGGTTCACTGAAGATTGCTCGTGACACACCACAGCTGAGGTTCAGGCTTCACACCCACAGAAATGCAGCAGTCTCCATCAGTGAGAGCTGGAAGTGTGACATCAAACAAGATGGGGTCCAATCTAAGCTTCAGCTTTTGCACTTTCATAAGAACAGAACCAGCGTGGTCAGCAACCCCCCGTTGACGATTGCACTTCCGAACATAATGACGTCGCATGTGGCCTCCCAGTGCCTGCCCTGATCCAAATGACTTTCCGCAGGTATTGCAACGGTGGCTGTTGTCCTTCATAGCAGCAGCTGGAAGATCACCAAACTTCATCTCCTCATCTGAATTGTCGGTTCTTGGTTTCCTGAGAGCAGCATCTCTAACCAGCTCATGATCAAAATCATTTGGATCCATCTCCTCCTTGGGAACGATCAAACAGTTTTCCTTGTCACTTTGTCCATAGCAATCCTTGTAACCTGAGTTATTATCATTTATTGGCTCCTTGGAGCCAACAGATCGAACCGAACAACGATCCACGGCATTCATGTTAACCTCTGTCAGCACAATGGATCTCAAGCTACTGTCTTCTATATCTCCCAGATAGCAATCCTCATAAGCTGAAGTCTTGTCAAAGCACCCTGAAAGCAGTAGGAGAGCATCTGCAGCCTCTATCTCCTCCAAACTGAGTGCTGGTGTCTGCCTCTTTGATCGGAATGATCGCTTACGCTTCACTGAAGAAAACACCATTACATCTTGCATGCTATCAGCAATGCCCAGTGCTTCAATCAGCCCGGCAGCTTCTTCCTCAGCCTTGACCACCACCTTCTCCCCACCGTGCATCATCATGTGCTCCCTCAGCGATCCGGAGGTGGAGAACACCTTTGAGCACATCTGGCATTGTGTTTCTGGGGGCAAAAGCAAAAGATTATCATCACAGGAACTCAGCAGTGGCATGTGCAGATCAACAACAGTGGGTGGGCTTGACGTGCTCTTTGGCTGATTACCAACACTCCTGTGGCAGGACATGTGGCCTCCAAGAGCATTCCCTGAACGGAAGCTCTTGTCGCACTTGTTGCAACAATGCTTCCAAGGCTTTCCTCTTGGTGCCATATCTGTATCATTGGAAAGTTACACTAAGTTAGAACATAGCATAAGGAAGAAAACATGGATTCACTAATTGCTGCATCATACGCATTTTATTGTCAGATAATTTTAAAGCTTACTGAGTATGTACAATATGAATGTCAAAACAGAAATTTTCACCAAGATATATTTATATTAACAACACAAAACACAATATTAGTAAGAACTAGCATCACAGGCGCATATAGTACTAGTGACAAAAGAAAAACTACATAACTGCTCTGCCATGGAAACAAACAATGTATCCAGAACCATGGCCTTCACCACTCAGGGGAAATCAATCGTCAGTTTTCTTTATAAAACCGCAGAATCACTATCTACTGTAAGCAAAATGGATACTGTATTTAACACCGTAAAACAAAGCAACAAGAACTCAGATATTGTTGCTTCCTTGAAGCACGTTTGCAACCACTAAGTTAGCATTTGAAGGAAAATTTCAGGAAGTACAATAATAACATACAGCAACGAGTCAACAACCTTACAACCAGTGAAGAAGTTATGGCTTCAGCCATATCTGGATGGCAAGAACACAGTGTGACACAAGATGAAGCAAGCATGAACTTAAACCACTAATTTCCTGCTCCTTTGAAGCATTTGCGTGAACACAGAGATGGCATTTCATCAGATAGTACAGGGACAACAGAAAGGGCCCTAATGGTTGCAACAGCAAGTGAGGTGAGCATGGCGTTCTTTACCTGGATGCTTCTTGCTTCTTGTCTCGACGATCCGTGTGGAGAAGAGGAAGCAGAATAGGTGGGGCACTCCGGGTTGCTCAGGGAAAGATGACGACTCAATCGCTGAAAAAAGAATGCGTGAAGTGAATTAGCCCTCAAAGCAGGTGCAAGCGATCAAGAAAGCTCATTAAACTGCTCCAATTCTCAACCCAGAGGTAAAATTCAGAACCACATAGGATAAGTGACTGAACAAACTACAGAACTGCTCTGCCATGGAAGCAAACCAAGTAATGCATCAAGAACCATGGCCTTCACCACCAAGGGAAAAAAAAAAGATCTGCAGCTTGCTGTATGGAAAAGCAGAATCACTTTCTACAGTGGCCAAACTGGATATTCTATGAACATTGTAAGATAAAGCAAACATGAACTCGGCTATTGTTTCTTCAGCTTGCTGTATATAAAACAAAGGCAGAATCACTATCTACAGTGGCAAAAAAAATTGGAAAAGCAAATATGAACTCAGCTAATGTTGCTTCTTTGAAGCATGTTTGCAATCACCAAGTTAGCAATTGAAGGAGTAGTTCAGGAAAGACAATAATAAACATAAAAAGCAACAACTCAACAACAAGTGAAATGGCTATGGCTTGTGTTATAGTAGCTGGAATTCCAGAAAACTGCAAGGTCGGCAAGAACGTTTGTGAGACGCAAGATGAAGCACACATGAACTGAAACCACTAATTCCTGCTCCTTTGAAGCATTTGCGCGAACACACAGATGGCGTTCGATCAGATAGTCCAGGAACGACAGAAGGGGCCATAATGGTTGCAACAACAAGTGAAGTGAGTCTGGTGTTCTTTACCTGGGTGCTTCCTGATTCTTGTCTCGCCGATCCGCGTGGAGAAGATGGAAGCAGAACAGGCGGGGGGCGCGTGCGTCCGGATTGCTCAGGGGAAGACGACGACGACTCGATCGCTGAAACGACAACCAACAACTCGAATTAGCCCTCAAAGCAAGACGCGGATGATCCAAGAACACTCACCAAAACACTCAAATCCTCACTCGAGAGGAAGCAAAACTCAACCGAAACCGGAAGCAACACCGAGAAATTAGCCACGAACAGCACCAAACCAACCAACCAAGAACAGAGACGCGAACACCAAAGAACCAAAAACCGCATTGCCCGATCAAAAACCAAGAACCCCCCGCAATCCCCACCCCAAGAAACCCACCTCGATTCCCTCACAATATCCAGCTCCCGCGGAGGAATTAATCCGGAGGTGCCTCTCCTTCCCACCCTCTCTTGCTCCTCTCCTCTCCGCCGACGCCTACCGGTGGCCGTTTATCCTGCTTGCAACCGCAATCCTCGGAGAGAGAGAGAGCGTGCCCCGCGAGTGTACTTATAGGTCGGCGCGGCCTATGAATCTGGACGCGACACTGCGCCAGGTTCATCCTGCCTCGCCGGCTGCTGCTCGCCGCGCCGCTTGGGTGGAAGAGGAAGGAAGGCGAAGGCTTTGAGGGGGAAGGAGGGGGGGGGGGGGGGGGGGGAGTTGGTGGAAGGGTTTAGGCCGCTGGGATCGCGCCACGTGTCGTAATCGGACGGTGGGAATGGAACCGCCTCGCTCAACCGCAGTTCGGTTGACCTTGGTCAAAGAGAAACGGCAAAATAATGAAGTGAAAACTGAAAACCCAATGAAACTTTAGTGCTCCTGGTCAAACTTCGCCAATTTATATGTTTTCACTAGCATATGTAAGTAAATCACAGCACTGCAAACAAGCTGAGTAAATCATCACAATTAAATTATCAGCTGACAAACGAGTAATCATCTATGAACACTTTCTCGAGTTCTATCTTCATCATCAAAAGCTCGGAGATTGTAGCCAGCTTCTGAGAATCTGGAAAAACTGAGTTTTTCAATTTTTGGTTCTATTTTATTTTCTGGATTTTACGACTATATCTTCTCGGAATCTGAATAAAAAAATGAAATGTTTGAGGGAGCTTCTAATTCTGGGAGAAGCTGCAGCAGCTAGAAGCTCTCTCCAAACAGGTCCTTAGTCTCAGCTCTCGTCGTTATTCATCATATCAGCTTCAAATTTCAGATCTGCAATGCTCGTAGCAGTGACCAACATGTGGATACATGCCAACACACAATTCTCGATTCTAATCCACCACACAACTCAATTGTAATCACAACAATTCCAAAAAAATAAATGTAATGCCAGATAAAAAAAATTAGTATGCAATTGCAATTCCAAAATATAAGATTTAACATGCAATTACTTCCAGTAGACCATACAGTAATAGGGTAAGAGACTGCTAGATGCATATTATACCACATATGCTGGGTGAGAGACGAAACATGCAAACTTTGGCATAATTTGTTCCTAAAAAAGGATCAGCTGCAAACTAAAGCATAATTCTGTTCCTACAGCAGTATCATCCCAGTTCCAATTTAGTCTCGATTAGATTACTTGAGGAATTTGCTACAAACTAAAGTATAATTTGTTCCTACAGAAATGATAATATCTCAGCTGCAATACTAGGCTATAGATTAGACTAATTGAAGAATAACACATATGCGGGCAATGTCAGTCGCCATTAATTTCATCTCAACTTCTCCAGCCATAGTAAGTACTCTAATTGAATAGAGGATAGCAGATGGATATCTCTCTTCATCGCCATTGTTGTTGACCTTTTCTCTTTCAATGAGGAACTTGGCGAAGATGTCGACGGCAGCCTTGGATGTTGATGGTATGTTGATCATGCAGTTCTGGAGGATCTTCCATCTCATGTGCGCTACCATCACCGAGAGTAACTTGTATCTTTCCATCCTCCATCGGAAAGCTGAAAAGGCATACATTGATACATAGATCAATTTGCCACCAACATAGTATAAGACAACCACGACTATGTTACCTAGATACGGGGATACATATATGGATATGCTATACGGGGATACGAGGATACGGCATTTTCTGAAAAACACCGATACGGGGATATGTCTATATATATTTAAAAAAAATAAAAAACATAGAAGAAAAACATAAATAATTACAACACTATAAATAGAGAAAAAAGATATAGCATTACATGGCATGAACTAGTCAGGGTATCAAATTCGACTCAATGGCTGAATAAGTTTAATTGGTGTTAGCATCATTGACAGTGCTATATCATCTAGCAGGTCTAATGCACCAAAAATCTTTTAGCGCTATCACAGGAAATCTTGCCCATCAGGTAGATCCCATGGATAATGTGTTGTATGTAGGAGAGAAGTAGTTGAGCTTCCAATTCCAAATTTCACGGGATCTAAGAAAAGAGATAGCACTTGCAGTCTTGCACTAAGAAATTGAGAAGGGAAAACACATACAGTAACAAAACTCAAATCAGATCGAGACTTAGCGGTGGTGACGGGCTTGGAGGCCGGCGGAGACGCTTCGCCCAATGGTTGTGATGCAGAGACCGCCGACCAGCAGAGGCCCTCCGCCGGGGAGCGGCAACAACGACGCCTAGATGCCGGTGGACATCCTGTAGCTCAGATGGCGAGACGCGGCGGAACCCAACAGCCGGCTAGTGGAGGCCCTGCGCGGCTGCGCCTGCCTCGGACTGCTTCGGGGATGAGTGAGATAGCAGGCGGTGAGGCAGCGCATTCCCGGCGCCGCGGGTGGATTGGGTCGACGCTTCCGTCCGTGTGATGCGGAGCAGCATTGCTGCGTTGGTTTGGCCGTATCAGGACGGGATACGCACGTATATGAGAAGTATCCGAACTACTTTCTTTTCTTTAAAATCACAGTAATCAGGATGGCGTATCCGATACGGATACGTCACCCATCAGCCGTATCTGGGCATCCTAGAACCACGATATAAAAAGACATTGTCAAAAGACAGCACATTGGGCATCCCACATCACCAATCATGAAACAATTATTGGCATAGTAACAGAGGGTAATCGGTGACACCAGAAAAATATATACCTATATTCCAATCACCACACAATTTGGCATAGTTACAGAGGTTAAACAACGACACAACAAAAAAAATGAACCATATTCCATTCACCAAACAATTATGTCGGCATAGTTACATAGTTTAATGTACTTGGGGACTTCGACCTCATTAACATCACTTCAAGAAAAACAACCCCGGCCCTTTGATCACTCATAGGCAAACAAATTCAATGATACTCTTCACTCGCTAGCTATTTTCGAAATTCCCCTGATTTACAGCCTATACATTAAACCCTACCCTAACCCGGATCGATCAATCGTCTTCTTCAACACTCCATGGAACTCTATCCTACCAAACTCAGCACTTCAAAGCCTAACTCATACAACTTCAGACCATGTTCCCCTCCTTGTTACCGTCTCCCAAAAGCTTTTTTTTCTCCGCTTCGAGAACTCCCGCATTTCAAACCCAGACCTCCTCACATACATCACAACAAGCCGCATGAAAAAAACACAAATGTTACTGATGTTGCAGGCTTCCTAGCAGTCAAACCTAAAAGGAACAAGGCTAGTTGCAAGAAGAAATGGAAACCCCTAGAAATCCAAAAAGATTGGGAGCTCATCATTGACCTAATGGATATCATAGAAGAAGAGATGCACCTCACTCCAGTGGAACAATGCTTACATGAACTAATTCGGAGTAAGCTGAACACAATCCTTCATAAACAAGAACTCTACTACTGGAACCATAGAGGAAAATTTAGACGAATTAACTACACATGGCCAAGAACATCTTTAATATGTATATTCAAATCAACAATTAGCATTAACCTAAAGATTGGTATATCAGATAAGAATCTGCAGCAAGTCAAAAGGCAAACTTGGTTTCATAACGTTGAAAGATATCAACTTTAGAATTATATCACCCGAACATCCTGATAAATGCATCCAGACCTATCTTGTCGTCCATAGACACAAAGAAAAATATACTATGAACAATTTTACAGAAGAAGTAAGCAATGGCCAAGAAATAGATGCCTCACCTCCAACTCCCTTTTCCCTTCAGCAGTATGCAGCACGGTTGATCCACAGAAGTCGAGATACTCCGATACATCGGAGCAGTGGTCGATAATCTCCAGCCGAAACATAGAGGAGCGACCACAGCCGTGGGCGTGTGCGGCTTCTCCGTATAGGCAATTCTTCGAGCACCTCGGCTACATGGCATGACCGAGCAGCAGCCTAAAGATTCTGCACGAAGACGAGCGGGGTCCCTGACTCCCCCTGTCCATGAGCCCCTGCACGAAACTTGTAGAACAGCAGGCTCCGGGCTACCATCGCGGCGACGAAACGTGCATCATCATCCAGAGCACCTTGAGACGGCGGATTCGGCGGAAAGAGGTTGGTTGAGGTGTAATAGCTGCGGGGCTATGTCGTAGTGGTCGTCCGCCATCAAACAATCAAGACTCAAGAGGCTTCCAGCTGGTGCCCGGTCCTTCCACTTTGTGCCAAGCTTGACCGACAGCCCATCGGGTCGAGCGCATCGGCATGGAGGGAGGTGGATGGATTGGAGAGGGGAGGCACGGAAGCAGACGGGTTGTGGCCGACGAAGAGGTGGCTTGAGAATCGCCGGAGGAAGTCGACGGAAAGGGCGGTGGGCTGGATTTGCACCGCCGTCTGAGATCGTCGCCACCACCGAGCTCCTTGTCCCCATCCAGCGACGACGAGGAAGGGACGACATCGGACAGGGCGGTAGGGACTAGGCACTTTTGCAAAAAGGACCCTTAAATTTCACATATTACAACACGATCCACCACCATCGATCCCTCACCGTAGAATAGGAGAAAATGGACATTATGCCATCGTCAAAATGAAGCTTCGCTATAATACCATTATACAATTTGGATTCACCCAAATACTACTCTCAACTAGAACCAACCAACCCTCTCTAATTCACCCACATCATTTTTCACTAAATTAGAAGAATTTTAGTCATATTTTTCAGTAGACTTGACAAAATTACCGCTGGAATCCTATTCATCCGATTTTAGTCTCACGAACTGCTGGGAGGCTAGGGTTCCCGGCGGCTCCCCTTGCGCCACCGCGCCGCGGCCGTCTTCTCGCCGCCGACGCTGAGACAGGCCGCGCCGCCGCTCCTCTCCACGCGCCGGTCCGGTCCGGTCCGTCGCCGTTCGGTGCTCCGAGCTCGCTCAACCAGCGGCGATGGCGGGCGGCGACAGGGAGAGGGATGTCGAGGAGGAGACGAGGAACCAGATGATGCAGAATCTCTTCGGCGACCAGTCGGAGGAGGAGGAGGAGGACGACGACGAGGCCGTCGATTTCGTCGACGAGGACGACCACCCGCATCCGCATCAGCAGCAGCAGCAGCTTCGCCACCAGGTGGTGGATGACGACGACGACGACGACGCCCACGCCCGCTCCGGCTACCACTCGGTAAACAATATACAATCCGAACCTCAATCTCCCCTCCCCTGCTTCCTGGGGCTGGCTAGGGCTTAGGTTTAATCTCGCGATTGGGATACAGCAGTTTGATGAACCAGTAGATTTGTGCTT